CATTTTGGGTTTTATGTATTTTTTAATGCTATATTATAAAAACAAAAAAATTCGTCTGAATATAAAAAAATTAAGGGTGAACAACCCTTATTACTACGGGGTATGAAAAATAGATGTTGGCTGATCCGTAAATCTACTCAATGTGCTTACAAAATTTCGTCAAAATCGGTCGAGCCGTTTCGGAAGAGTTCACTGTCTAACACCGCGAATCGAGAATTTTATATATAAGATCTATACATACCTATATGTATATTTACAATCACTCAAAGCTTGTGAAGGGTATATTGTTTTTATGATCATAGAATATAAATGAAGAACTAGGAATAAAATTTATAATCGAAACTATTTTAGATAAGTCAGCGTGTAATCCTGTACATTAAAAAAAGTGAGTTTATGGTCTTCAACTGTATGACGTATGAATTTGCTGATAAGATACGAATTGTTAATAAGTTTCACTTGTAAGAAACGAAGATACAAACACTTATATACATAATTACAGTATGTCTAGCGGGGACGTCATTTTTCTCCTACGACCTATGTTCCCTAGCTCGTACATGGCTCATAAGCATCGGCAATTTATTGAGAATACAGTTTCAAGATTTAATTGACTTGATGAAAGGTAAATCCTGAAAAAATAGTGTTTTAATATTTATCACACCTATATATACCTGATATATCATTTTGATCTGAGCTATTTTTATAAATATGTACTACACCAAACAAAAACACATTTTACGACTTTTTTGAATTAAATTACTTTTTAAGGAGGGAGAGCACAGTTGTGGTAAAGAACAGCTCGAACGTGGGCTGGCTCAACAGGGGAAGTACCACCCTCTCACAGGAGAGCGGCGTTAAGTAATCTTTAATTGCTGCGTTTCTTCCGATGAGTCAGAGATCCGGTTGCCTTCCCTGTTCCCACCTTTTTCTATCTTTCCTTGTTCCCACCCCTCTCTATCCTCAATAATCAAGATTGGCAATGCATCCGCAACATACCTTATGTTGCGAATGACCATGAGCGATTGTGACCGCTACCCATCAAGTAGGCCGTCTGATCACTTGCCACTTTTCTCATAAAAAAAAACTTTAAAAAATAATTGGATGAATAACGCCTTTATTATATTTTATACCTGTACTTTTCTAAATTTATTAACATGTTTTAGTTTTTGGGAATTTATGTTGGCCCTGAGTATATTTAGGCAAGTTACACGATAAAAATATTATGTTTTGAGACAAGACAATTCTTTACTCCACAACATAGCTAGTGGAATGGACGATTCATTTAAATATTGATGTAAAGATATAGAATTAAAACAATGAAGAGCCGTATATCGCACGACCTGACATTTTAAAGACATAACGGCATAAATTTGCAAGTATAATATTGGCATTACGACTAGAACAAGAATCTTTTTTTAAACGCGTGTTTTCCTGAGTTTGTTTTTTTTGTTCTGTGGGCTAAGATTGTTGCAAAAATATCTTGTTTAACTTTTAAAGTCATGAGAAGTTGTATACCTGTGAAATATATTTTATAATAGACAAATGTGTTTTTAAATATGAATAAAATATTGAGCAAATAGTTAGATTAAAATTAAAATAATTAAGTAATTTTACAATTTAATATTCAGTACATGTGTCACAGATTTTGGATTTTCTCCTAATTTCAAAAAATATGCACTGTTGACAGTAAATTTAATTCCTTTTTTATAGAGCTATCTATTTTTCGGATCATTTTTTCGATTTTTTGATATACATATATTCTTAAACTAAGGTTTGTTTTAAGTGTACCTACTAAAATCTGATATTGTTTCCCAAGCACCTACAAACGACAAAGCATCAAAAATAAAACTAGGATTGTAGGATTTACTAGGTATGCGTTGATACTTAATGTTATTGTACATTTTCATCTCGTCTGCCCATGATCACGGTTGCTGCAAAGTAACGAAAAAGTCGGAAGTATGTAGTTAAAATAATAAAAATACGGGTAAATAATCTTAAAATATTAGTTTTATTTAAATTAATACTAGCGAAAGTCTAAGACCTCATTCAGTAACCAAAACTTGTAAGTCTCTACAGAAAATGGAAGTGGAGAAACTTGGTTAGCGAGCAGACAAGCTGTTGACTTCAAGTGCTGCCAATTGAAATAATTTACGCAAATCTAGGTGAATTGTTACCAATGTCGGGTTATAAGGTACATTGGCATTAAGGCCTGTCGGGTAATAAGGCCTAAACATTAGAAATCTTGCTTAAAATATGATTTTGAGCTTAAGGTCACTCACACACATGTATATTACACGTTAGAGGTGCCACTTTGGGATTACTAAATGTTGTCAAGAGTAGCCTCATGTCACGTTTTTACAAATATTGGCTCCAATAAAACGTAAGTATTTCTTATATTATTATACTTCTCTCCCTGCACTTACTGTGTATATTATCGTTAACTTATGCTTGTCCCACATTGCCTTATTCATTAATGTTCTACAATCCAAATTGTATTTATTTCGTTTTCCATAAATACTTAACCTATGGGTAATAAGGCCTACAAAATTTTATAGTAGGAATTATTATACTTATAGACATATATTTTTTAATGTTAGCACTATTTGCAAATTATTTCACTATATCATACATAGTTCACAGTTCAGGATGCCTCCTAAGCGAGAATTGTGGTCAGAACATGAGTTGGTCACGCGCAGTACAGACAGGAACCATGAGTATACAAAATTTGTAGGAGAACAATAAGAATGCAGAAAAAGAGAAATAAAATAATAATTATGTTTGATGATGATGGTGATGATTGATCTCAAGTAACAAATAATGTTGTTTTAGTTGATTAAGTGCATAGTTTAAGAAACAGGCCTTGTTACCCTAAATAAATGACTGATTACCTAATAAAACTTGTTGATTCTATTATCAGTATTTATTTTATAACAATTGTCCCTTAGGGGTTAATACCCTCGTGTACTATAGTATCAAAACAACAAATTCAGTATAATTTCAAAGCCATAAGCGTAATTACATGTTGTTATTGCTCTCAAATTAACAAAAATAAATAAATAAAAATAACAATGAATTGAAATTTACAATCACTAAGTACGTCAGAAGCAATATTTCTATTTAAAATTGAATATTAAAAAAGAAACTTTTAACATTGGTTAGTATGGAGCTTGTAATAGAATGTACATTTCTTGTAGCGTCATGAAAAATCAAGCTTCAAGACCATATTCAACATAGTTGTGACAAAATTTTGATGTATGTTCAGAACAAGATAGGTACCTAAAATGACAAAGGTAGCTGGTTTAAAACTTTAACCTACAAAGTGCAAACCATTGTATATAATAAATAATAATTAATACATAATGCTGGCTCAAGAATATTTTCTAGTGCCCTGTCGCTGACAGATCCGGGGTACACCGACATAGCGGCCGATGGCTTTCGCAGTGGTTTTAGTGAGTAGGGGCCTGCCCAGGCCGAGCCTCACACATCCCTTCCGGCCCCACCAAGGCCGGTTGGACGGCTCGTAAAAAGAGTTTCCACTACGTCATCAAAAAAAAAAAAAAAAGAATATTTTCTAAAGAACAATGGATTCAAAAATAAAAGTAGGTAACCTTAGATAACGCAGTCTATCGTCATTTATTTACAACTTAATGAAAAATTTACGAATCACCAATTATAGATGGCGCTCTGTTTAAATTTATGGTAAGTAAAAATAGTAAAAATAGCCACCAGGCTATTTTTAAAGTAAGCTTTATCAAAGAGAAACAAAGCAAAACGACATTAATTGTTTTTATAGTATTGAATTCTAAAACAATTTTCGTTATGAAAGACGTTTTCCAGACGTAAAAGTATTTGGGAGTATTTAGAATCCCTATCAGGATTTGTAATTTGTTTGCTTTTTGCTCTAATAAAAGCTTACTATAATTTATAAGTCATTATTGTTGACAACGCGGTATTTCTAATAACCAACATGGAAATTTAACATGGTACAACTTTGCTATTGAATAACGAACTTCCTATTTTATACGTTATTCTGTTAAATTTTTAATTAAAAACCGTAATCCTAGAATTAAAATTTAGAAGATGTCTGTACCGATGTCTTACGTGACTGGATTCAACAGTCAACTTAAAATTGATCAAAAACTTGTATATATAGAAGAGACCTAGTTTAAAGTCATTTTAACCTAGTAACACTCGCAATTACTTAGCTGTTAAACGTGTTGAACGATTTTCAAATGAATCCTTTAATCGTTGTGGTGGGCTTAGTATATAGTACATAGATTGAATATATTCAGTTATTCTTAAAACTTTTAGTCAAGAGGCAAATATATTATATACTAATTTGAGATTTCAGTCAAATATCCAAACTTTGCTATGAGTTTAATTGCTATTTTAGTTTTTTGGCAATGAGAGTTTATAAAAAAATTATAGGCTTAAGCAAATGTTTGCACAAAAAACAAATCTTTGGAATAAAACTATATACTCTTCAAGAGCTTATTAAAGTTTAACTTCATTATTTTATATGAAAACAATCGAAAATTATATTTTAAAGACTCAAACAGACAAATCAGGAATAACATATATCAAGAAACATATTTATACTTATATTCACTGTTGCCTTAGTTGTGTGCAGTAATTTTAGTCTCAATATATCTTCTTTTCATGGAAAAAACTAATTTTGACTTAATTATGACCAAAATGACTTTTAATTTTTTAACAAAAACATTTATAAATATTACCACTTCCAATTTATGCTCTAGTTTAAAGAAAGATCAACATATATGTTTAAAGATTCGTTACATGAAATTTTGTGGTCACCAGACTTAATAAATCATATAATTATCCATATACTGTTTTTTTATATGATTGTAATAAAAACATGTTTGTTATACTTTATTCCACATTAAATATTTAATGTTTCAACATGATCTGTGTTAGGTAAGAATGTTTAGAGTTATAAGTGAAATAAAAAATAGTTTTATACATTGTACTTATTTATAACTAAATTAACTTTTCACTTTCATCATCGCTACTCCATTTCCGTTTACAGTTCCACCGAATACAATAACACAGATAGCTGATTCTTGAACACTGTTCCACACAGTTTCTACCCATCCGTCAACCGTTTGCATTAACTTTGTATCATCTTCGGACGCCTCCAATTTCAAGTGTCCCATGACTAAATTATAATTTTTCACAGATTCAGTTAATGTTGTTATAACTTCATCCATACTGTCTACTGTACTCAATTTAACTCGCTTTGGTTTACTTTTCTTCAACTGAGTACTTAAACTTTCCTTGGCTTGAGTCAAAAATGTATGATAGTCGCCTGTTATATTGTCACAGCCGATGATTATCGAGGTTTTCTTCTGTTCTATAATGTGATTAAAAATGGACAAAGCATAATGGGGCTCGGTGACCATTTTATTGACATTTTCTTTGTATTTTTGCCTCTTTGTGTGTACTGCATCACCAAATTCAACACTCTTGCTTAATTTCAGCTGAACAAGTTTTAGAGAGGCAAGGGAATCCTCAACTGAGCAATGACCATCTGTGCCAGTCTGAATTTCCTCTTTGAGATATTCCTTTGCTAATACTTTTAACTTCGGCTTACGATATCTTTCCCCAGTGAAATTGTAAATCAAACTTGTGTCAATAATATATGGGTGCATTAACCTTAAGGCATGTAAATCTGAATTCAAAGACTGTCCGACTAATATTGCATCAGAAGGCAGAAGCTCTTGTATTTCTTTCTGTACATCTTCTAGCCTTTTTGTTACATCTCTCAATAACTCCTCAGTAATACCAGAATACTGAGTTAAATAATCCATTATCTGGTTGTAGGGTTTAACAAAAGATTCATATACAGTTTCATGTTGTTCGTTAACAATTGATACTCGTGTTAACTCTGAACCAGCTTTTGTAAGACACATTTCACAATCTAAACCGAACATTGGTGATTCCGCTGTAACTGGTGAATACTCTTCTTTTGTCATAACATAATCAGCGTACACATTCTGTAATTTACCTTTGAGTGGAACTGGATAATTTTCATCTATCAATTGCCAAGCGGACAGTATAAGCTGTGTCCGTGGAAATTTTTCATCAAGTCGTCTGACATCTACTGAACCTGCTATTTCATCTCTGATAGGAAAAACAGCTTTCATCATCACCATCAAATCCTTTCTCACCTCAAGAGCTAAGTTCATGCTACCATATTTTTGTATTAATGTTTCTTTTTCATTTTCTGACAGCGGTACTAAGGCCATTTCTTTAACTAGGGATCCATTATAAACAGAAGGAGTTAAAACTTCAACGGCACTATCAAATATCTTGTGCGTACTCTTCAGCATATCTTGATAATTTTCCCAGTCCTGGACAGAAATACCTTCAATAATAAGACAGGTGGTTTGGCTGATGTGATTGCATTTGTCTATGGTGTACCAACGCGGTGGCTGGGTAAGATTTAGGTTTCCAAATAACGAATGTAAAAGCAAATGTTGAATATCTGTGAGAACTAATGGCACTCTTTCCTCTGATGACAAACATAATGACGCCGTCTCTCCGGTAGGTTTCAATCGAAATACAGGAATATGCTTTTTCTTCGTTTTGGGCTTGTCTTTAGCAGCTGTAAAAACAAAAGTTTAACAAAATTATTGTATATAAAGACAAGCATTCAGAAAAATTAAGTATGTGATAAAAATTTAATGTTAATGGGAATATGAAGTTTAAAACAAGGTAACTTACAATCAATTCGGCGTTTTTTGCTGACGGGCTCATCGGAAACCCCATTCTCAGTACTCATGTTGTGATAGTATTAGGTTAAAAGTACAAAAATTATAATCGACAGTTAAATCATGCAAAACTCCTGGATGATCAGGCTTTTGATGATTTACATATAACAAATATTATAGTTTTATGTAACAAAATAACATATTTAGATTTTCAATTCTTAAATAGTAGCTTTCATTCATGCTAAAATGTGCACACAATGTTTTTCTCTCCGTCAAAGTGACTTACGTCGTACTACATAAAATAAACTCGAATTGACATTTGAAATGGTGAATATTTTACATTGATAACTTAAAGTTAATTAGATCTTAAAATTTAGAAAACAATAATAAGTTGTAGAATTAAATGAAAAATTTGTTTGATTATGTTTTCAGATTATTCCTTTTTAGTTCGATTATTTTTGTATAATGTAGCTATTAATAAAAAGATGATTTATTTATTATCCTATAATACTCAGAGCTATTTTATGGGAAAGGTTTATAGTATTGTTTGTATTATTTACATACATGTATTAGAAGATATTTAAATTTAGTTAAACATTAACTTCGTGTAATAAAATAGAACAATTGCATCTATATTTCGAACTTTTTAAAAGTAGATATTATTTTTTACTTTTTTTAAACTAATCCATAATTCTTTCAGGAATACTTATAAAAATAAATCTTTCACAATTAGAAAAAAAGGGAAAACGAACATAATATACTTATAATGATAAAGAAACAAATTACGTTGAAATGTATAGAAACCATAATGAATATATAAATTATTATTTTAAAAAGTTGTACTTTCAAACACTTTATTTTATGGTGTTATTTTAAATAAACATATTGTACATAATAATAATAAAGTAAGTAGTATTAAAACCACTATTGATATCTAAAGAAGAAAAAAAACTAACTATAGCCTATTTTCTATATTTTGGAAGTAAAATAAATTTGTAAATATTTTTTTTTTTCAATAATTTCGATGGATACAAAGAAATACTTAATTATGATCATAATCATAATATTGTAAAAGAAGTAAATAATGTATATTTTTTATAATTTACGTGTTTATTAGATTGCTATTTTTAAAAGTATATTTTTTTGCGTTATTGCCAACAGAATAAAATGATAAATTAAAAGAATAACAAGGCCATACTAAAAATAATGACAAAGAGTATTATGTAAACTCTTGTGTTCTCTCTTACACTCATTACAAATGCTATTCTACTAGCGCCAACAATAATATTACGTTCACATTCATATTGTGAATAAACATTCATTTGCTGTGCTACAATTATTATTTCTCGCTGATTCTTTAAATTTATATTTGGAATTTGGATTACCAAAAGACTTTTAACGATGGATTCTTTACGTGAACAAGTTATGATAAACCAATTTGTAGTAGCGGCTGGATGTGCACGGGAACAAGCTAAACAACTCCTACAAGCTGCACATTGGCAATTTGAGGTAAATTTTGTGAAATACATGTAAACAAACAATATTATAATCACGAAATGGCTGCGTGTGTTAATGTATTTTGCAAATAAACAATCAAAACAATAGTAGCAGAGCATATAATGATGTTAATTTATATATTTGTATTGAAATATACTAAATCTTTGGTAGGCTAATTAAGCTATTCATTGCCTTGACCGTATCTACAAGTTATTTTTATTGATAATGAAAATTGTTGATAAATAGCACGAAAACATAGTAAAAATATGACGTTCTGTATCGTAAATGATTTGTTACACACTCATTATATGTTTATACTAGGTATTTTAAAAACTTCCATTAGTTACATAAATGTCAAGTGTTTGTGATTGTATTATTAACCTAATTGTTTTGATATTGAGTTGATTCTTAGTCATGTTAGTCTTATTGAATATGCATGATGGCATTTTTATTGCAAATTTAACTCTTCTTAAGAAACAATATCAAAATTAAACTTGCTATTTATATATGTGATTATTTTTTTAATAATAATATTTGGAATTAATATATGTATATATATATTGGTTGTTCAAAACATGTTAATTCATATTGATGTAATAATTTATTATGGAAATTTTAATTAAAATTAGCATAAAAACCAAACACAATAACAAAACAAGTTATATATATTTTTGTTTGAGATTTATTTTTTATTCCTACATATTTTTATTAATTCTGTTTACAGACAGCCCTATCAATATTTTTCCAAGAGGTTGCGATCCCTTCCGGAGCTAATGGTATCGCTGCTCCGTATCATCAGGTTGGTATTTATAATGTAGTACATAGCAGAAAATAGCTAATATGTACTAATATTATAAATATTTGTGTCATGAAACTAAATGTATGTCATAAGTATTTAAAAAATATATTTATTTCTCACTTCCAGCAACTAATGACGCCGTGCAATACACCAGCGACACCACCAAATTTCCCCGAAGCTTTAGCAGCGTTCTCCAGATTATCGACAGGCAGTCCGAGCCAGGCGGGTGGCAACAGTGGAATGGCTCCTCCTGTCTCACCCCTAGCGACCCACCCACCACAGAATACTTACAACGGAGCGACTAACTCCCAAGCTAACTATGCACCGCTATCCTGTTCAACTGCTGTGGGTATATTCATGATATCTTTATTTCATTACTAGCTGCGCCCCGCGGATATCCGGGTTTTCCGGGATGTAAAGTAGCCTATATGTTATTCCTGGACGTCAGCTTCCTGTATACAAAATTTTATAAAAATCGGTTCAGCCATTTGAGTGTGAAGAAGTAACAAACATACACACACTCACAAACTTTTGCAATTATAATATTAGTAGGATTAATGTTATTAAATTCATTGCGATGTTTTAATTATACTATCTTATTGAATGAGTAACAGAAAGTCAAATTAATTCTTAATAAAAGTCATATTTATTGTTTTGAATGTATTATGATTAAATTACAAAGTCATCATAGGTTTGATGTGTAAAAATTTAGATACATACTTATAAATCAGCTGATTCTTGCAGTTCTTATAAAAATAATTTTATATAAAATATTATATAGATTTCACATACATATACAGTAGGACCCCGATTATCCGGACCTCGCTTATCCGAATTCGCGATTATCCGGACTGCCAATCGCGACGAGTTTATTCTAACATTAACATGTCAGAACTTGCATAACGCCACGCCACTTATAACACTTATACGTACATTATGTACAATTTCTTAATAAACGTTGATTTTCGCTCATATGTATTTGTTGTTTTAAATAAACACCTAACATTACATATGTATGGTACAGACTACATATGTACATATGCAAAAAGCCCGTTTTTCTTCATATATTGGATTATCCGGACTTTCAATTATCCGGATGCCTACCGACAACAATTAGTCCGGATAATCGAGGTCCTACTGTAAATGGATCATGTTGATAATAATGTATGTATTTTGTTTACTTGTGTTTTGTAGTAAGGAAGTAGTAGCGATAAGGTTACAGATAAGTAATGATGCATCATTTGTTTACAGATTTGCAGAGAGCACATGCCCAGATAAGCTGAGGAGTTAGTTTAGGATTGTCTGTAATTTATTTTTCTAATGGTGCGTGATGTGAGCTGTGGACTTGTGAATATTATTTTATACGCCCCACTGCAACTAGTTGTTGGACAATATATGGGGTGCTATAGTCAATCATGTTTAACATAAAAATATTCTCACTGTTCATATAATAGTGGTTTCTAAAACAAAATGCACTATAGAATAATATTATGTTACATTTTTGATACCTATAAAAAAATCTAACACTGTGATTATAAAGTTTGGTATCATTACTATGTAGAGATAATTATTGCTGTATGATAATTATGAAAAAAAAATGTTGTTTTTTTTTTTCTTTTAAAGTTATATACTTTTCTATACACTATTTACTATAAGCTAGTATCATTTAAATCAAAAAGTCACAATTGTATTATATTCAGCAACTTTATACAGCTTCATAAAAGACAATATTATGAAAATAATAGTTAAAAGTGGTTAAGACAAATATGTCATTGTAATTTTTGCATCTTAATTCTTGTAATTAAAAATAAATAAGAAATAATATTTATATTGTAATTATTACGATAACCCTTTTTAACGTTTCAATTTTAGTTATTCACAAAAAAAATGTGTTAATTAATACTTTTGCATAGCTTTAACTTTTGTAAATACTTACGATAATTATTATTAAATTTCCCTCGAACTCAAAGAAACTCTCACGTGCTATCCATATGCATGTTTACAATTAATAATCAAAACTTAATAAAAGTAGTTTGACTATGACAGCCGTTTATAATATTGAAATACAGTAAAGTAACAATAAAATAATTTCCACTTCCATCTAACTCTATTTTTTTTATATCTAAAATAAATTGACAAAAAACATAAATATTTACGTATTAGCCAACTTTTTAAAAAAATCTGATGATTTAAACGTATTAACAGTGCTTCGTGAAGTAATAAAGAAAATATTGATTCATAAGGAAGGATTTATTTCTATATTACTCGTAAGTTTCTGGTTGCAAAATGATGGATTAATAAAACAATCAAAAATTTTCATAATATAATAGTTATAATATATATATAGTTTATTACATAATTTACGATGTTAGTCAATGCTTTTTAAGTCGTAATATCATCCCTTGTTTCTTTTTCTGACAGTAATGTGTTTCTTGATATTTCTGCTAATCTCTTCTGTATAACTGTTGTTGATAATTCGTTGTCTAAAATGCTGAATTCATTTGCCAACTCCTGGTGGCTCTGTACCGGACTCAAGATGTTAGAATGTTTACTCTTTTTGAAGATAAGCTGAAAATAAAATTATAATACTAAATATTATTTCCGCTCTTTCCCAGTACCCTATATATAAATAGAATTTAATATCTAATTTTTAATCACAGATGCCATTCTTATAACTGAATCACTGCGTGATAAAAATGATGATTCATTCTTTTATATCATTCAAGAAATCTGAGGTTTGTTTAAATAAAAACAATGTGGACTAGGATCCAGAATGTAATCTTTTAATAAATTGAGATAGAGATCTATAGGCCCGTTACTAATCTTAATATATTTTTTAAATACATAAATCTATTATTTACATACGATAATTACACTTTTGAATTAATGGATATGAAATTGTTATAAAAAGAATCAATTTTTTAGTTTTCAATAATGCATTTCTGTTTGCACTTGATTTAGCTCTTCAAAATTCCAAAAGCAGTAACAGTTAAGTGTTTTTTATCGTTATAACTTTGGATACAAAGGTCAAGGAAGTCGGAAATACCAATATATAAACAAGAGAGAAAATATATATTACGTATATTCCTTTGTGAAAGGCTGATTTATGTGATATGAAATATCAGTGCAGACGTAAACTAACCGTTATATGAGTAAAATATTTAATATTCTTTCCTACGCACCTTATAAAACTGCGGATTCTCATATATCCAAACCCATAATATAGAGGCAATAACTATCGTCAAACTTAATAGCAGATAATTGGATGAATAAGTGTAAGCGTCATTGAATATTCCACACCAATTGACATTGATTTTTTGCATTTTATAGAATAAATTAAATTTTTAAAAACCTTTCATTCTAGTTATTGTTTTACGTTTTCTACATTTCTATTTTCTATTATTATTTCTGTCACAGAGTAAAAACACAAGGTGCAGAACATTTAGGTACAAAGTGCGCATAGGTCCAACGCTTGAAGTCTAGACTCTAGTCTTTTGTCATCGATAAGTTTTGTAATTATAGATATTCTGCATTCTTTCTAGCTTTATCATATTTTGTTGCTGTAATTCTCTAAATTACAATTTTTTTGCATTAGAAAATATAAAGAAAATACACACTTATTTTTTTTAAATATGACCTAATTTTCTTTTCTCCTTTGGCAAAAAACCTTTTAAATTATTGAAGGAGATGCCTAAAAATCTATGAGACTATAATTAAATTAATAAATCCGTAAAATAAAGTGTACTAACCGAAAATTATTAGGTCATTAACTTTATTGCTTTTAATGGAAATTTTAAGTATTTTAGCAAAGTTTGTTATATTAAGCAAAACATATACCATTTAAAAATATTTATTTCCTTCAATTAACTTATTATATAAATTTTACCTGAACACACATATCTATTTCAATATATTTTGGTATTATATTAAGAAAAATTGCAATTTTTAGGCATTTTAATAACATATAATCTGTAAAACTGCCATAATTACACATTCCAGAAAACTTCAATTACATCACAATAGTGAAAAAGTTATTTAATTAATTATTAATTCTGTTTAAAGATTGAGTGCAAAGATGTTTCACTTAAAATATAAACATTAGAGTAATAACGATGTAGAATTTCATGAATACTTCAATGTTACAACTACTTTGGTCTATGTGGAAACTACTCTATTTAATTGGATCCAGCCTTAGAACTATATCTATTAACAAGGGACCCAGTTCAATGAGGCAATAGAAAATCAGATTCATTGCGTTAAAAACAGTAAAAAACACAATTTAGTTTATAAAACAGTTAGAGCGTATAATGGACCACATAAGTTTTAACTATTAATAATTCAAATGTACATCATTTCAGCCATCGATGACATTTTTTTGGGTATATGAACTAGTGTTTCGAAGTAGCTCGCTAGTTCATCTATTGTAACATCACAGGGAGGATTTAGAGCTTGTTGTGAACACGAGCCCGAACTTCTTTCTGATCCCGATTCCTTCGTCTGCCTCTCTCTCACAGTGTCACACTTCCACCATTTCGTGTTATCATTCTTAATATCTCTAACACTCATTTGACTCTTTTCCGTTGATATGCTTAGCTGGTTACAGTTGTCGACGAGTGTGTGCAGACATATATTGTCCGTGTTGAATTTTTGCAAGCGTATCTGTACAATATCTTCATTAAATAGTTGCAGACACTCATTTCTAATTATGTTATTTTTACTGTGATTTTGTGACAATCGTAGAGTGGGTTCTTTTATTAATTTGTTATTTTTCTTTTTGCAAATGGACAGTTTTTTCCTTTTTTTCACTAGACATGTACAGTTTATATTTTGTGGACATGATTTTAAAGCTGAGTAACGTTTCTGTAGGCTATTTGAGAAAGGATTTTCTTCATTAACATTTTTTATAACTTTGATAGGTTCTATTTCCAATCTTCCCATACCAACTCGGAGTGATATGTCATCAGTAGCCATTGTTCAATATTAATACATCTGTAACAATGGTTTTCAAATGTATATAAGTGAATTCATATAACTCGATCTGAACAGCTGTTTTGACTACAAGCGTAAACATAAGACTAACATTACAACGTAATAACCATTAAAGTTACGTGCGTAAGTTTGAATGAATTATGTTTTCATTGCTTGACAACTGAATACAAGAATACATATTATAGATCAAAACAACAATCACATTTATTTAAGTTAGCAGTAACTGTGTTTATAATAATAAGCAAACACTGTAGCCACCACAGACATTGTACATAAATAGACGTCATTGGTTAAAAACAATATTTGTTTTAACTTGTAATCATACTTACAGATTAAGAAACCATTTAATTGTATACAATGATGCCGCTAGCTTTGGCACAGCTCAATAAACAATTGAAATAATTACCATTCATTAAAATAAACATCAACTCAATAACTGAATCAAGTCATCGTAATATCCATAGACAAGATATTTGTAGATAATAAATATATAAACAAAACATTTCTATTACAGATTATAGCACTACTTATTTGTTTGTGAGTTTGTCTACAGTTTTATATGTATTATCTGTTACTGTCATTTGTTCGGCGTCTGTCAATGTCTGTAATCTATGTAGCAGTGTTGTACTGTAACCCTATTCCAATTGACTGGTTGGTCAAGTGGACTACTGCAGACAGTAGTTAATATTGATTTTCAAGTAAAGTAATAATGGAACCAAATCCAGTTATTATTGCCGCTACTGCAAAACAAACAGCGTCGGTAAGAATAAATTAATAAATAGTGAAATATGTTTTCATGTGAAATAAGTTAAGATAATAATACAAACAATTTTTTTCAGCTTATATTTTTACATGGATTGGGAGACACAGGGTACGTAAACATTTTAATATTATTATAGTTTTTCTGAGTATGTACTGATAAATTGACTGATTTGAATGTAGCCATGGTTGGGCTAGCACAATTGCCGCTATTAGAGGGCCCCATGTTAAGGTGATTTGCCCCACGGCGTCTACGATGCCGGTTACGCTTAACGCGGGCTTCCGGATGCCCTCTTGGTTTGATTTGAGAACATTAGATGCAACAGCTCCAGAAGATGAGGAAGGGATTGTCAGAGCAACAAATCTTGTACATGGATTGATTGCTGATGAACTCAAAGTACGTGTTGTTTAATTCCTTACCTCTTATATTTTTGTAACAACTTATTAATATAATGAAATTGGCAGGGTGGAATTCCAGCAAATAGAATTTTGTTGGGTGGATTCTCTCAAGGCGGTGCATTGGCACTTCATGCGGCCTTAACATATCCGGAGCCCCTTGCGGGTGTTATGTCACTCTCCTGTTGGCTGCCGAGACATGCTCACTTCCCCGATGCTGTGAAATCTCCCAAAGAGCTACCTGTGAGTGTTTCCTGTTGATTAATTTATTTCTAAGCTAAAATTACACTGACTCTACATAAAGTATTAGTCATTGCAATTGGTATTATTTATTTAATAAAAAGATAAATAGTTACATATCATAAGAAAGTAAAACAAGTAAATTAAGAAAATTTTAATAGTTATGTTTTTCAAATATACATTTAAGTCTTTATTTTCTTATATAGGAAACTTTAAAATTACTAATAAAGACATTTTTTTAAGAGATAAGTTAATTCACTGTGACCACAATTTATATAATTTTTTTGGGTTTTTGTGCATAAATAAATTAATTATTTCCGATGAAACATTTTAATTATGAATCCATAATAATAACATTAATCAATTGATATCATTATCAGTACATTGTTGTATATTTGCTTATGTCATTTCTATCTACCATCATATCACCTTTATTTGACATTAAGAATGTACATGATTAAAGTCTATAAGAATTGAGATCCTTGAATATGAAGTACATTTTTTTTTATTAACTTGTGTTTTGAAATATATACATATAAATATATATATTTCAAAATACTTGTATATATACATATATTGTTTTTATAATTAGATTTTTATTTTTTATGTATTCAGAAAACTTCCATAAAACAATTAATTTAATTTTTTTTATACCCCGTTAGACAGACAAAATCAATTATTCAAATGACAGTACATTTACATGTCTATTTTTAAATTTCCACAAATTTACATAAATATAATTATATAACACAATATGCAAACTATTAAATATTTCAAAAGCTATTGTTGGCTCTTATAATGCATGTAAATGTGATTTTAATAAATTTATTTGCATAACAAAAGGAAGCAAAACTTGATAATTATGCATTAGGCCTGTGTTAATTAATTGAAAGTTAAATTATATATACATATATCTATATAATATTGATAGAATAAGGAATAGTTAAAGATTTACTTTTATATATGATCTCAATTTTAACTTGTTTATGAGTACATATACAGGGTGACTGGTGAATTACTCTCAATATTTAAGGAGAATACTCGGTACATGATTCTCATTCGAATTATGTAAAAAAAATAGGCACTTAATTTTTGACCAAATTTCCGTATAAATAAATAAAGTGTGGACACGTTCCAAGTGTTCCAAGAGTGGACGCGTACGGCGGCGTGCTGATACAACACCACGCCGCCGTACGCGTGTGTGTGTGTGTGTGTGTATACCTAATCTGTAGGGTGTTATAACACGATGCGTAATTAATTACATAACTTTTGGTTAACTTTACTTAGAAGTTTATTAATATTTATGTTATATTAATTTTTATTTTGTCATATATGATCGTCAAATATCACGTCCTCAAGTATCGATAGTAATTCACCAGTCACCCTGTATATAAATATATGTACATATATGCACTGTGTATGTCACACTTTTTTGGTTCTTTGAAATAATATAAAAACACAAACATGTTTCCCTAAGCAGAAATATATTTCCGAAATTAATTTTAAGTATATATTTTGAAAGGAATCTGAATGTATAACATTATTTTAGATAATTACCAAAGTGTTGCTAGTTCCTAAATCGATTTTTTTCTTTACATTGTGTATAATACATATGTATGTATTCACCTACATTTCAGTGATAAACATTCTTTGTAAAAATAGACAAAGGGTCACCCTAATTGGATTCTCTTGAATCTTGATCAAAAATTTGATTGCATTAATGGAAATTGGCCAGTATTCAGTGATTTTCCTATTACATTATAATCTGAACAATTTATATGCATGACCTTTCACCAATTGTTTCTAGGAAATATAAGTGTTTAACTAAATTTTATTGATTTAAATATAACAAGTATATGTATTTTAAACATTGGAAAAAAAAACATTTATAAAGAACAAATAATCAGTTAACTCATGTTAAAACAATCTTTTCAATCATATAGTAGTTAGTTAGAAATATCCTTATATGTGAATAGGTTATGAATATAATTTATTTTGAATTATTCTAGAAAACCGCATTTGGCCATACTAATATCGTATATTATGTCATCTTGATCTTTCATTATCTGTCTCAATTGGAGTAGAACATAAGTTGATATTTCAACCGATATTCCCGCAGGCAAAACCGTGGGTGAAGGCTGTGTTCATTAGGAATATGAAATAAATACATCATAAATACAATAATTTCGTAACAATTTACAAACACTACGTAACTTGTAAGAAGCCTAAAAACTTCTAAGTGTACGTAAACTTATACGAAGGAAACCGTAAAACTGAACACCCCCTATTAACAATTTATTCATCGTTAATTGAAACTTTCCAGATATTCCAAGCGCATGGTGATTGTGATCCCGTCGTGCCGTACAAGTGGGGTCAAATGACCGCTTCGTTTCTGAAGACTTTCATGAAGAACATTGAATTCAACACATATCAGGGCCTCTCGCACAGCTCGTCAGAAGCGGAACTTAAAGACATGAGAGCATTTATAGAGAAAACTTTACCAGCTGGCAAATAAATACATAAATTATCACAAAAACCCCAGTACTTATAGATTTCTATGTTATTTTAAATTGAATATATTATTTCGTAAGGCTACACTTACAAAAGACGTAAAAAAAATTATTAAAAATTTTATATTTTGTTGTCGATCCTACACTAAGTTATTTTTTCAGTAACCAAATATTGTATTTAAGGATAGCTATGGAATAAAGTATACTTTTTAATTCCGTCAGTTTTTTTATTTCTATGATTATTATTATCGTGTTGTGTTCCTTAAGATATGGTATGGAAGTTATTTTCTTTTATAGGAGACAACAAAGTATTTCACTTTAAAATTTAAATGATTGAAGTGGCATTTAAATAGAGAAAGGTGTTATGCAGATATGAGCAAGTGAAAGTAAACATTACGTAATGTAATGTATCTTTAATAATTATTACAGTTCGTTCATTTAATATCCTTATTGATACAAATATTATATTTCTTAATATACTCATTAATAATGTTTTCTTGTTCCATATAATTGGTATCTCTTTATTATTTAGATGCTATAAAATGTTAATCCACTAACAAAAAAAGTTTTTCATATAGGTAATAGAAATTTTTTGTTAAAGTTTATTATTACTATTGGAAAGCTTCATAAAGAATAGCTAAATTATTTGTTCTTCTAGTATAGTTCATTATATTAAAAATGGATTTTTTAAACGAGTAGTTTTCCTTGAAAATACTGATACTAAAATATTTCTTTTTCTATCTGCAAGAAATTATTTTGATCACTTTCGAGTTTTCGTGGATAAAAGTGATATTCGATTCAGAGAAGGTACACAAGTATCGAAGCCAATATTCCTCACTCTTAGGTGATTACTTTTTTATGTGTTTAGTTATGATAGAATTGTCATCATCATAGTGATTGCTCATTTCTGAACCTAAGCCTCCGACAACCTTTACCACGACAAACTCTTTTCTACCTTCTGTAGGAGCCAGTGGCGGCTGGTGGGTTATCGAACTGGTGGTGCACTTTAATAAAATATTAAAATTAGAAAATACAACAAAAAACCAATTTACATAAAATATGTTTATTTTTTAAACATTAAATCAATGCGACTACATTTTTATGAAGCGAAATGTTTAATCACCTTTTTATTATAATCGGGTATTGTTTATAAAATTATTTTTTTCAATACTAAGCATAGAAAGTGCATTTAGCAACTGCAAGGTATTTCGGAGAAAAGTTTTGATTCTTTTCAATTCCAATTCGTCATCCGGCCGCTCGTGCGGCGCTCGAGAACCGACTCATTACTCGGGACATTTCTATGAACTATGTTTTGTTTCACGCGCCAGGCGTATTAATGCGTATCTCATACGAGATGTATTAGCAGTCCTCGTGCACTCGCCGAAGCGCACGATATTAGTTTAGTAAAGCGCTCAAACTTTTTGACCATAATTAGATGATTAGATTAATTTCATACGTTTTTATATGTTTAAAAAATAAATATTAAAATGGTGATTTAAAAATAAAGATGAAGTAATATTTTGTAATTTTTAAATCTTTTGAATTGGTGGTTCAGCGCACGAGTGCACTTAAGGTACAGCCGCCACTGGTAGGAGCATATACTTAAGATGCAGCAAACAGTCTACTATCGCTGCGTTTAATATTACGCTGCCGACATTGAATATTAGGCACCCTCGGCTATCGGAGCTGTTAACCGTGTTTGATGGGGAGACAATATTGTCTTAATTATACTGTGGATGATCAGTACCTATCAAAAATTTATATGTTATCAGTTGCCGATATTGTGTTTTTGTTCCAGTGAAATGGGTACACATTACTACATTTACGTCGTTTCATTACACGTAACAGAACTGTGTTAATTAAAAAAAAAAAACTAATATTTATTTGCATATTTGAGGTTTTTAAATTTTAAGAGTTCTTTTAAAAACAGAAAGAGAAATATTTAAAATTACAAAATTATATATTTTTTTTGGATATAATTAAAAATTAAGAAAATACTATAATTCAGCGGTTTTTTACATAAAAAATACTAAAAGATAGAGTTATGTATATACCAAGTAAAATTAATACATAGGTACATAGGATTAAAATATTAAACGGCTTGACATCTCATTCTAGCTGACCTTGACAACTAACAATTTATTATTGACACATGATATTTTATCTTGGATCTAGAAAGACCGAACGATAGTAATTCGTAATTTTAAATAAAAATGTATTCTATATAATGCGATAATGGTGATTAAATTTAAAATGTTGTGTTTTATTTAATAATCTACGAAAACAAATTCGGCTCTGTTACGACGATCACAATTTAATATTTAAATGCAATATTTAAAATTGTACCTGTGAAACATATTTTCGTGTTTAACATCAATAAAAATGTGGAATTGCAAGAGTTTGTTCCCTGTGTTGATATTTTTATTAACACTTACATCCTTTATCACGTGCGAGGAAAAAGAAAATCACTTAAGCACGGACACGAAGAATTTTATAGGAGATGACGATGTTTCCTATTGGGATGTTAACCAAGGTCCAAGGTTAAAACGCGAAACCTCACAAAACACCACAAGTTCTAATGACACAGTTGTCTCGCATCCGTCAAGCTCTTCTACAGAGAGCTCCCACATAGTTTATGAGGTTGGTCCTTCTAATTCTTCGATATTGGCGGTCGTTCCTGTTAATATATCATCATCACCTGCTCCGAACGCCTCCGATGTGAGTCCTTCTGATGCTGCTCCACTTCCTGGGAAAAGTTCAGCTGAAGATGAACATAACAGTTCAATGGCAATATTCTTTGTACTTTGCATATTGGCCCTGGGAATACTTCTGATTCATTTAATGTTGCAAACTGGTTTCTCTTATTTACCCGAGAGTGTTGTTATAGTGTTCCTTGGAGCGCTTATTGGTATGATTATTAATCTCATGTCAATAAGAAATATTGCCAATTGGAGGAAAGAGGAAGCCTTTTCTCCAACAGCTTTCTTCTTAGTTTTACTACCTCCTATAATCTTTGAATCTGGCTATAATCTCCATAAAGGTAACTTTTTCCAGAATATTGGTTCTATTTTACTCTTTGCTATAGTCGGAACTGCTATATCTGCGTTTGTAATTGGTGCAGGCATTTATTTGTTAGGATTAGCCCAAGTGGTGTATAAACTAAGTTTTGTGGAGTCATTTGCTTTTGGATCTCTTATATCGGCCGTTGATCCTGTGGCTACGGTGGCTATTTTTCATGCTCTCGATGTGGATCCCGTTTTAAACATGTTGGTATTTGGAGAGAGTATTCTTAATGATGCTGTTGCAATTGTTCTTACAACGGCTGTGTTAGATTCAAATGACCCTCTTATGTCTACGACCGAGGCTATTTTATCAGCGATAAACCGTTTCTGGTTAATGTTCTTTGCATCGGCCGGCATAGGTGTTTTATTTGCTCTGATTAGTGCGCTACTTTTAAAACATGTTGATTTGAGAAAGAATCCTTCTTTAGAGTTTGGTATGATGTTGGTATTTACTTATGCACCATATGTCCTTGCTGAAGGAATACATTTGTCTGGTATGTATATATATTAATTATGTAATTAAATAATTTTGGTATATGTATTTATATAAAATGATTTAACAGGTATAATGGCCATCCTATTCTGTGGTATAGTAATGTCACACTATACACATTTCAACCTATCGACGGTTACTCAAGTTACAATGCAACAGACTATGAGAACACTTGCCTTCATCGCTGAGACCTGCGTCTTTGCCTATCTGGGTTTAGCTATATTCAGGTAAATCAAAAGATTTTAATCATGTAGACAGATTTAAAATAGTATTTTTTGTAAAATGTTTTTGAACCATTACTAACACAAAGTATTGCATTTCTTTTTATTAATTTTGATTCGTCACAAAGCTAAGTATTATCTTAAAACTATTTATATATGGAATTTATGGGAAAATTAAACTTTAAAATTCATTATGTTTAATTTAGTCCTAACATTGAAGTAGACTATTTTATGTTCATTCATATTTATTTCCAAACAGTTTTCGCCACCGAGTTGAGCCGGCTTTAGTGGTATGGAGTATAGTTTTATGTTTAATTGGAAGGGCCGCAAACATCTTTCCATTAGCCTTACTATGTAACAAGTTCCGTGAGCATAAAATAACAAAGAAAATGATGTTCATCATGTGGTTCAGTGGTATGTTTATGTTTAAACTTTATTGATGTTTAGATAAGATACTATTGAAGTGTAATTGTATGTATTTTTAATATTATCAGACATTTTCATACAATTAAATAATAAATATCCATTTTCTAGTAAAAATTGATAAATGACAGTTTATTTAAGAAAAAAATATTAAATGTCGTGTTTATTAGCAACGCTTAAGAAAATCCTTGAAAATATTGATTTACTAGCTTTCCGCCCGCAGCTTCGCCCGCGTGGAGTTCGGTTGTATCGCGTTTCCAAGACAACCTTTCAAAAGTCTGGGATAAAAACTATCCTTTGTTCTTTCTCAATGTCAACTCTATCTCTGTAACAAATTTCATTAAAATCAGTTCAGTTGTTTAGGCGTGAAAGCGTAACAGACAGACAGACAAGAGTTACTTTCGCATTTATAATATTAGTAGGGATTATTTAACGATATGCACATATTATGTATATTTCAGGTCTAAGGGGCGCTATTTCCTACGCTCTGTCTCTTCACCTCGACTTTTCCGATGAAACTCGACACGTTATTATAACAACTACTCTCATTATTGTACTTTTCACTACTCTTTTCTTCGGAGGTTCTACTATGCCGTTACTGAAATTTTTGAGAGTACGTAGTATTCTAATAATTTTTTACTTATGAAAAACTAGCTCATTTTCTTAAATAATTGTAAGCTATTTACGATATTGTTATTTGTAACAACAATTTCATAAGTTTTTTTTCATTCAGGCCAATAAGAAAGTGAAACGTTCAAGGCCGTTACGTAAACAGAAGGAAGTGAGTTTATCTAAGACTAAGGAGTGGGGGCAGGCGATCGATTCTGAACACCTCTCGGAAATAACGGAGGAGGAATTGGAGGTAATGATAATATAAAATCATATTATAGTAATAAACATATTGTTATTTCGATTTTATTTATCATTGATTGAAAACTTATCTTTTATCTAGATCTAGTATTGGTTTTTTAATATGATGCACTTATAATGTATTGTTATAATTTTTGTATACAATTTAATGATATATATAATACATATAAAGAAATTAAGGCTAATATTTATTGTACTGTTACATACATACATATGTGAGTTGTGACTACATATACGTCTGTAACTATACTTATAACTTAACGGACTTAACTATAGTTTGAATCTTAAGATTAAATAGCAAAAAGAATGCACTGGAGTCAAATTCAATTTTTTTTAATATAATATTGTAAAAGACTTTATAAAACCGTGAAAATAATTAAGAAAACCGTAAAATCGATATAAATTTCATAACTAGCGTCTTAGCTATTTCTTGAAGGCGTCCTTATTTAAAATTAAATGTTTTTATATAGCAATGGCAGGATTAGAATACGCTTTCTATAGATAATAAGGCGGAGATAATAATACCTACTGTTATTAATTTCAGGTTAATTATTCACATGCAACGAGATTGAAGGGTTTCGTCAGATTAGACCTGAAATATTTGATACCATTCTTCACTAGAAGATTCACACATCAGGTAAATGCAACGATTTATATATTTTACTTTAAAAAAGATCAATTGTCAAATTACTTTTATATACTATGTAACTGTTATTACTAGTGACCTTGTACTGATTTCATGCATGTCGCGTTGCACCTTTTTAATTTTGCACAGTTGAATCTTATCAAATAAGGTATTTTGTAATGCTTTTGCACTGAATATGAGTCATATGTAACTTTTACCACAATGTGTTGCCTACAGCCTATATGTTTTTTTTTTTAATACGAATAAAGGTTTCTTCATAGGTATTAACTTATTAATTCTCAGAGTAAAGAAATCTATAAAGCAATTGTTTCTTTTTTTTATCTTCAATTATCATAATACTAATAACTAAACGTTTAAATTTCATGCTGTGAATGAAGCATAAAAGTTACAAAAAAGCCATCCGCAATTTACTATATTGCGGAATTAAGTCTTAAAAAGATGTTTTTCACTATATGATAATTATTTTCTTTTGTGTACATAATTATTACTAATATTATTTTCAGTGACTATTATTGTTGTAATATCTTGTTCTCACATATATTATTAATTATTTCAGGAATTAAAGGATTGCAAGAGCCAAATGACGGATCTAACTAATCAATGGTACCAGGCCATCAGAATATCCAATGATCACGACACAGATGAAGATGAAACTCTTCAGGCGAGCTCATTATCAAACTCCCACACAAGCCTACAGAGAGGTGTATGAAGTATTACATAGAATTTATTATAATTAAGTATATTTATTATGTTGGGAATGTTACAAATACAAAAATAAACAGCACATATATTTTTACAGTAATATTTTTATAATACACTTCTGATGATATTTCTGTAATTCCTTATATTGATGTAATTCATTATTATAAAGATAATTGTATTATTTTTTATTTCTAATATTCCTAATTTAGGTCTATTTTAAACATTGGATAGGTTTCTATGTGCAATAAAAATGATATGATAGGAAGGCTTGTATTCATGTTATAAAGTAAGAGTTGTTTAAACAACAAAATATCATTTTAATTCATATATTTTTGTGTAATCATTAATGTGTTGCTGAAACAATTTGCTTGTATTGATTAATAAAGTGCAAATAGATGTGAAATAGAAGTGTTATGCACTAAGTTTTTTAACACATTATTGCACCAAGTGATCTTAATTTTAAAATAATTTCCAACAATATTAAAATATAATAAAGTTTATGGAATTAACACGAAAAATTTTACAAGGAAATGGCCTAATGAAGATCTACTTAAAAATAATACTTATGCATAGTGCCAAATTCCACAATCTCAACGAAATTATCCTTACTTTTTAACCTATCAAATGATGTGATTATATATTTTAGTCAAATATTGTGATGGTATTACAAATGTATTATTAGATAAATACGCACACATAGTTGCAGAGCAATTTTTATAGTTTTTATTTTTGGTTGTGTCATATCATATGTACTTAGCTTATTGTACAGTATTATTTTAAGCCTTATTTTGTATATCTAAACGCAAATGTAAGCTGTTAGAGCAAGATATATAGTTTATAAAACTATTTGGATATGTTATGTATTTTCAGGTATTAAAATACTTTCTCATATTATCCAAAAATTGTCACATATGACCGTCCTATAGAAAATATTTATGAGATTACAATTCAACTGTCTTAGAGGCTGTAAATGTGTTAAATAAATGTTTGTAGTACAAGTAACTTAGTTATCAATCTTAAAGTCATTCCTATATGTTATTGTCATATTTTTGTGATAGTCGGTTTTAATTTATTAGTTGCTTTATTGACTTATTATTATGTGACGATTTAAGATCATAAGAATATATTGTTACTTATATTTATTTAATTCTTTATATTATATATATTCAATGTATAACATGTTCTTGTTTTATTTGACCCTATTTCTAAGTTGATTTTTTACTGGACTGCACTGTGTTGAACTTAATATTTATTTAATGTGTAGACAATTTTTTAGTAATATATGGTTTAAAGAAAAAATAAATGTGTAAAGTATTTATTTTGTAATGATTAACAAGTTAGTTTAAAGACTTAGGTAAATGTTTCACAGATCATAAAAATTTTTTTAGAACATGTGGTCTTTCAGAACTCAGAAGTGGAGCTTTGTAATGTGGTAATTAATATAGGAAGGGGAAGATTTTATTTAAGAGAACCAATATTGTAAAAAACTAGTATTAACAATGCTTACAATTAACAATTGATGGTGGGCATATTATATTCAAATGCCTTCCATTAACTCCCTCTGTCTCTTTCTATCCACACTATCAATAAGTGTTACACATTTAATAAAACGTTAATTTCATATCCCACCCATGATAGAGTCAATCTTTGAACATCAACTATATTGGAAGTCACATGAGAAGTTTAAGCTCAAAAATACTGATCTATTGAGATTGTTAAATAAAAGACGACTTGAAGTCGACTTGAGTAATATTTTGTAAACAGCAGTAGGCAATGGGTAATTACCATTTGAATGACTATTCCTGAAGGTTATTATTAAGACCAATGTGCCCAACCCCAATGCTAGTGCACTTGTAATTAAAAAGTCAATAGAAGCAAGTCTAAATGAAATCTTAATGTGTTCTTTTACTTCAAATACATATAAAGACAGCTAAGATTCCCAGTGCCGTAACTAAGGTGGTGCCAGCAGTGCCCAGGCACAGGGCGCAGACCCTGGAGGGGCACAGAAATGACCAGACTAGTATCTAGTTTTATCTCATGCATGGTAGCTATATACTTTGTTACTTTGGTAAACAACAAATAGATAAATTTATTTGTATGCACATTAGTCCATTTTATTTTTGCATAAAAGCCTAGTTACAACACTGAAGATTCCTTACAGTATAAGTCAGTGTTATATAGTTGGAGATACCACAGTACCTCTGAAGTACATATGTAAAAGTCACAAATTGAGGATGATAGATTTATATGTGAGAGAAGAAAGACTTACAGCTTGATTGCAACCTATGAATAGTTTCTTCAACCCAATCCTAGAAGTGTCACTGATCTTAAGGCTATGATTCATTCTTAAAGAATTTCAATCACCTGTTGGGCCGACACTTATAAATTGAAGTAATTATATTACTACAATAGATTAACTTTGGACAGGATTTTAACAATTTTTCTAATCATGGGATGTCAAATGATATGTAGTTTTGCTTTTTTAAAGTTTTATCATGTATTAAAATTAATTACAGAATTAAGGGGTTCAATATAATTGTAAGAACAAAACAATACTTTAAATTTTGAGAGCTTATAAAATGGGTTAGATTAGTAGGTTAGAAATTAATTAATCTTTTAAAGTGTTACATTTATAAATAACCCAAGCTGAGTTTAACAAAATATGCGTTTTAGGACTCTTCACTTTCTAAGTTGATGTGACTGCCAAACTTTCCATACAGGTGCGCCTTTAATTCTGCCATCTGAGACTTTAAATCATCACATTTTGCTTCAAGTTCAGCTATTTCTTCTTGTTTCTTTGTTTTATTATCTTCTAAGGATTGCTGAAAACATAAAGTAGACTATTGAAGATTATAAAAACATATATACTCACAAGTACTTAATATTTTGCTGCTAGTATTTATTCTTTAAGACATTTTGATTAGAGTCCTATTTTGTATATTATGTGGAGCCAATTGTAATAAAAAGAGTTGTTATTGTTTAGTGAATTTCATCAGACCCTAAAGATCATTTTAAGTATATTTTTTCGTACCAATGTGTCTTCTAAGCTTTGGCAGATAAAAACTTCTCCAACAAGATAAGGTATTTTTTCTGAATCATCAGCTAAGCCTAATTCTTCAACAGCTTCCTCTAGGTTTTTCATGTCATTTTGTTTGACTTTTAATTCGTCTTTTAAATCATCTACTTTAGCGTTGAGACGAGCAAATTTATTAATTTTTTGTTGGTCTTCATATGAAATGTGGACATCGGAATCCTGCAATTATTAAACATAAACGATTATAAATTATTATGTGAAATAAAGAGCTATGTATACTATATATCCAATTATATTTTACCCGCTGAAAAGTGCCCTTTCCAGAATTTGCCATGTTATTTTATTCAAAACTTTGTTTTTTTGTTATTCAATGAACGGTTTATTATATTTATTTAAGTTTTTCTCGTCAGGTGAAGATAACCTCAATTCTTGAAACGATTTTGACAATGACACTTGTCAGTGTTTTTGATACTTAATGCACCGATTGCCGAACATTTGACATAAGGACTTAGTTAATACATATAAAATTTTGTTTGAATATGAAATTTTGATTGTTTAAAGTGATCACTCTGATTTAAAAAAAGGATAAAGCTAAATAAATGTTACATTACGAAAAGTAACGGTAATTTAAGTTTAATTTTTTATCTATCATTTTTTTAAGTAATTATTTAAACCATGGCCGCCGCGAATATTCAAAGTGATATTTCTCTCAATATTGCCTAGCTTCGAATAATGATTATCGAGAGTAATATTTATGTCTACATCTAATCAGCCATAGGTAATGTCTCTTTTTTGTTACAAATTCTCATATTCCTTTTGAATGATGAGTATATTTCTTTTTTATATTAACAACATTTGTTGTGATAAAATTGCGTTTAGTGAAAGAGTTCAAATATTTATATATTCAATAATAACGGAATATACACCTTGTAATTAATATTGTAACAAATTTATTGATTTTTCATATTTTTTTGTATATGTACATACTTTTTGTCATTTAATTTTTGAAAGTATAGGAAAGTATTTCCTTATAATAATTTAATTCTTAAAATCAATTAGAATTTACTTATCCACAAATAAATATGTAAAAGTATACCTGCCAAAATGTTGAATATTCTTAATATGTGCAAGCTGCCGATTAAATAAATTTGATCTTATAAGTCTAGATATGTTTTGAGGCAACTTAGTAAAATTTAATTGAATAATTGTAAAGCAATTTAAGGTATAAGTACCTTTGTGATCTTCAATCATATATATAAAATGAATATGATGGTATGACTCAACTTTTAAAACCAATCTCAAATATTTGTTTTTACCAAAACTCCGCGAAACATTCGCTGTGTGATTCAAACCTGTATATTTTAGAAATCCATTTCTTTCATTCAGCAGGTTCAATTAAATTTATGTTTTCGTTTTTTATAGAAACGCTAGCAATTTATGTTTTCCGGTAATGAACTGTATCGATGACCTTAAGTAAAATACAAGCACTGAAAAACCCAACGTACAATAACAGCACCACGATATTTTTATCTCTGGCCTTCAAAGTCGTATATTTTATATTTGTATCACTGTTTGGGTTATCCATTATCAATATGGTAATTTGTAAAAGAACAAACAATACTATCGTAAGGCTAAAATTATTTTATGATATTCCTCCCTTATTTCTTTCAAAATAAAATTACAAATATTTTTTAAAGATTTAAAAATACCGAGAAAGTTTTCATTTTGACAATCCAAAAAATTTGAAACAGGCGAAAAATTTTCATCTTTTATAAAAACCTTGTCAAATCTTCGTCCTGAATAACTTAATTTTAGAGAATTCTTAAAGAAAATTACTTGCGCATTTTTCGTTTAAATTTTTCAATGTCCTTAAAATGTAATTATTAATGTAGTAAATTTATAAACTTTTTTTTTCATCTAGTAAAATATTTTCTTATCCGCGACAGTCACAGTTGGTTGGGCTTAGACTAGACTTTAGGGCATAGTTTGCTACACAAGACCGTTTTAAAATTAAAATATTAAAAATTAGATTTTTGTTAGAGAGCCCAATAACAATGTTTAGTTTGGAATTTGACAGTCTTTCATACCTAATCATACTAGACATGCCAATCATTTAAAGCATATTTAGTGGGCCAGTGCTTGCTTTTTGTTTGAATATGGGCCATTTATTGAATGAATAGGAAAAAAAATAAGTTGATATCCCTTATAAACCTTCGAAGGAAAATGTTTTTTCACAGTTTGCTTATAGTTAAAATTGATGTAGACCTCGCATCAAATATTCCTGTTATTTGTACGATTTGACGCTCTTCAACGTTTCTGGTGGTATTATTAAAGATGGCATTGTATTCCAATGATTTTTAAGTCAAGGGAAGATAAATAAGAAAAGAACTTAGAAAAAATAAAACTACAAGTTTTCCGGTCTAACTGTTGTTTCTTGTTTTGCATTTGTATTAATCTAATCATTTTACATTAACCTCACGTTTGTTATGGCTTTATAGCAATGGCTAAAGTAACATTAATAACATTTTCCGTTGAGAAAAGACGAAAAAAATTGTATTTGGCTTTCAACAGTTTGTATGAATATTTTTCGTTCCCATTATAAAAAGATTCAGATTAAAACTTTATATACTTTTTTTTAGGTAAATTGTTCACAGTCAATTTACTTTCTGAATATATAATGAAATTCTTTCATGAAAATGAGTTATATCTCGAGACCACTTTTGGTCTTTATTTAATTAAAATTTATTTAACGTATTTAATTACACTTCAGATAATAATTTTAATATTTAAAAATTATTTTTGCAATAGTGTGTTGTTTCTAAGCACATTGTTTTATTTGACACCAATTGTTTTCACAGGAGTCGGGTTACCAAGCCGACCTCAGCTACTATTGGAGGCGTTGGAATAGCCTCCGTCGCTCCCCCGTACGTCCTCTGCGGAGTCAGGGTTCATCAGACGCACCCTCCTTTTCCCGCTCAGATGCCTCCTTCGCGGAGATGGCCGTTTCACAGAAGGAGGACACTGCCAGCCAGGACCTATCACTCTCGAGCATCTTCTCCAGGGACAGACGCCTATCTAGGCGAAATGTTGCAGATGGCTATCGTGTCTTGAAGCCCATTACACAAATCACGTCATTTAACAAATCCCATCAAGCCCATTAAACAAATCACGTCATCAAGTTCTATATAACACAGGATTCCCTGTACGGATCTCAGCCCATCTATCTTAGAATAACAGCTGCCACCAGATAACGAACAGGGTCGAATGTGGCAAGATTCATGACTGGTGAGGCGTGGCAGGGCTTAGCCTAGCCTAGCTCAGTCCATCGAGCCTGGTGTAACCCTCCTCTCAAGACTGCTTCCTCGGCCCGGACCAAGACCCCTCAAGAACGTTAAGTAACCCCCCCTCCTTCTTGAGTTACTGCACTTATTACCCGGTGATCGCTGGGGTAGTCATGTGCCGACGCCGAAATAAGTTTCGGTAGCTGATCTAAATCTAGTAATATCAATTATTGCACAGGTGATCATCTGAAAGGAAATATTTTAATTATGCTCCAAAACCGTACTAGAATTCTAGAGAGCCGTTTCACTTAAAATGTAAAGTAAAAAAAATATGTAATAAACACCTATTATTTGCATCCATATATTCAAATATACTTCCACACATTCATATAATTGAAAGTAACATGAAAGCTAAATTTACGTTAGTTACATAAGGTACTGACTGAATGAATAATTTTATGACATTTTATTACTATAAGATGTTAACTTATTTTATGTGGTCGGAATTTTCAAGCAGTATTTCTGGTAAGTAGAATGCTAGTGCAGTAATTTCCCTACAATACAAAATTCGAAGCCAATAATGTGCTAACTGCTATTCAGAGGTTCAAAGTCCTCTCTAACAATGGCATGAAGGCGCTGATATGATTGCTCAACGTTTTAAGTAGTCAAGTGGATGAAATTAATTCTAAGGGTCGTAGATATCTTAGGTACTTTATATTTTTAACGATAAATTTACTTTATATTTAGATTAATTGTTATTGATATGGGTTTCGGTTAAGTCCTTGTTCAAACCCTGGTCAACGTTTATCTCATTGTTTTATAAGATTATAATACTCTTCTATTAAGTCAAACTTATGTAACAGTATGCATAATCCTCATTGCATGGTCATACAACATAAGCGTCTCTCGTTTCTCCCATACAATAACCTACATTAATCTATAAAGTACCAAGTTATATGAATGAAAAACTGTAAAAGTTTCATACGTGTCGAAGGGCGCTAACTCAGGCTAAGCATTGGTATCAATATTTTTAATTTACCGCGAAATGTGTTTATAAGTTTTATTTAATTGATTGAAGTTTACATATTCTGGTTATCAAATAAAAATCCATCATTAACTGTTATCAGTGGCGTGCACACCATAGATGCAAATAAGCACTGCCTTTACCCATACAACAACTAAACCTACATTGTTTAATTCTTATTAATATACTTTTAATGTTTGTTATATTTTGTTTATTTTTTTTATACTTAATGTTACTAATTTGTGATTCATACTTAATCTTAATGATGATACGACCGGCATATAAAGGCAGATTGCTATTACAACTAAAATTTCATTTGTGGATAGACTGTTCGAAAGTCATAAGATACCCTAATCCTAAACTTTACAATACCAATATCTTCCCGCTTTCTTTATAAGACTTTGAAATTTTATTGTGATTGTTTTTTAAAGTTCTGTATAAAGTTTAAAAAGAAAAGAAAATAGCTTACAAATCTGTGTTTTTGTAAGCTATTCAATGTTTTTTTTTAATACTTTAAGTTATTGTATATAAATTATTGTTTTTATTAAGTTATTAGTGAGTTAGGTAGTCGTTTTGTATTCATTTAGAGCGGTATCGAACTTGCAGTTACAGACAAAAGATACAAAAAGTTAGTGTCATAAATTTATCTTAGTGACAAATATAAAAATATATTAAACCAATACAACAGGTATTATCAAAAATATGGTCATATCTCAAGTGTGTATAAGTAGATGTGTAGTAAAAACTATGATTAGTATTATGAGTTTGCTGACAGAATCTTTGACAAAACAAACTAGCTCTGAAAGGAATTACGAAGCACCTTTGTGTAAGTTTAGCGAGCATCCGTCATACACAATCACCACTTCCAGCCCCACCACTGCGCCTGCGCAGGCCGCCGTTCACTTGCGCGCACTCTTGTATTGATCGTCAAACGTTCCGCGCGTATAAAAGAAAAACATTTTTTTTTGTGAATAATATAATTCCGTGATGGAGAAGGAGCATCAGCCAGACTCAATGGCTACTATCACCATGAAACCGGAGTACCCGCCATCTGAAGTGTACAGCGCTTCCGAGCCTCCACCGGTAAGACAGTTATAATTAATATATCGAATTAATTAGAGCTTTTTGTTTTGATATACTCACCGTTTAAGTCAGTGACTTCGCTGACAACCAATGTGAAACAGGGTCGTAAAACTTCATATATTTAAAACAGATAAGATTGAAAGAAAAATTAAATCACCTTTATAAAAAATTGGTAATTTAATGAATTGCTTTTATATGTAAATGATATAGATCATTAAAATTATAAGTACAGAGAAAATATGATGCCATTACAGTATGTCTATATTAAGTTAGATGCTGTAAAACGATGGGAAAGCGCCTTTCTCTTAGAAGCGGTTGTTAGGCCGCTGACGCGTAGCCAACCGTTTGCGAACATGAGTTTTGCCATAGCTGTTAATTTTACTTGCACTATAATTAGAGAAAAGTCTTAAACTTTTCAAATATTACAATCATTTAATGTTGGTTTTACTGTTATTTATATAATATACCGGCTGTGAATTCAATAATTCTGTTCTTATAAGAGTAATTTCATATACAACAACTAAAAACATTTAATTTAATTCAAAATTCGACCTAGTATAATGTATTTTTCATAAAAGCATGACATATTTAAGAACATTCTAGAATTTGAATTCATAATACTGCTGGCAAACGATTCATGTACGTGACAGAGGTTTTAACTTGACCGGTTCTTTTTGTAATGTTATTCAATCAATGATGAATACTAATGGAACCAATAACATATGTATCTCGGCTTTCTTTACCAATGTTTACGATTTTAAAGACATAATATTAGCATTCTTTTATTTCGCGCGCTGATTCATTTGTTTCGTGTAACAGACTATAAAAATATTATTACATTGCCGGGACATATTATAACATTTAAATTTCAGCATTAAAAATGTCGATAAGGAATTAAAAATGTTAAGAAAAATTCCACTTTTATAATCATTCTTTAGTTAACACTTTAAATAATTTTGACAGTTCTTTTATCTGGCTTAAAGAGTGTGGTAAAATATATGGTATATATATAATATAAGATATTTAATCAGTAAAACACAAAACGCACCTGTCTTAAAATATGATACAAATCAAAATAATCACGAGATAGATTTAGATTCTGAGAACCATGATATGTGTCCATAAATATGGGAGAATCATTGTTCTATTGTTCTGAACCATCATTATTATAACTATTATATAATTGCTTTTGATCACGCGATAACACTGAAGTCATCGCTGAATTCTTGTCTTTTTTTCTATTGAAAAATCTAGACTGAGATTTGAATCACAACATATTCTGTAAATGTTTACCCAAGAGACGTACCGCCTCTTAGACTTTGGTTACCAACTTGTTTGTTTTCCTTTTTACGACAATAATAATAATAAACTAAATAAAAATATTTTTTGTTTTAGACAAAGAAACCTCTATGAAAAGCTATTTATAATTTAACTGCTTATTTTTGAATACCTACCACACAATTCAAAAAAAAATTTAACCGAAAATAAAATAATATATTAAATACTGATAGATAAACAAATCATTTAATGTAACTGTTAAAAAATATTATTGTTTTGGATCCCAAATAAAATGTCTCGTCTACTTTTCTGATATTATTCTGTGAATTAATTAAAATCTCTTTATAGATATCTTTTATTAAATCTAAAGTAATGCTCGGAAAAACCCTCTATACAATAAACATGAAGCGGCGTCAAGTGAAATCGTCACCAGTTGTCGCTTGACCAAGTCTTCGTTCAGCCACAATGGGTATTACGTCACATCCTTAAGGCCTCGGCCTCGAATCTCGCGGGTAGCGGGGCGGCAGCGGCGGCGGCACGAAAACGCATACATTTCTCCGTGCCCGTTGCCCGCTAGTTTGGAGAATAGTATGCGTTTCCGTGCCGCCGCCGCTGCCGCCCCGCTACCCGCGAGATTCGAGGCCGAGGCCTTAGTGAGCATACAAAAAAATTGTTTACAATATACATCTTGTAATTGCAATTTAAACGTTGATTTTGCATTGAATTACAACAAAAACTATGAATGATTTGGTTAATATTATACGTATAATTTGGATTAATGACGGAAATTTTTTATAGCAAAATATATTTTGGTAAAAGGTACATTTTAAATAAAACTGATGGTACAATGAATAGTATTGGTAATCACCTTCCTATTTCCTCCTTATAACAATTTATATATAACATATACATTGTTATAAAAAGTATTTAAATATTATACAGGGTGACTGGTGAATTACTATCAATATTTGAGGACGTGATATTTGACGATCATATATGACAAAATAAAAATTAATATAACATAAATATTAATAAACTTCTAAGTAAAGTTAACCAAAAGTTATGTAATTAATTACGCATCGTATGAACACCCTACAGATTAGGTATACACTGACACTCACACATACGCATGTCGTGACGTGGTGTTGTATCAACACGTCGCCGCACGCGTCCACACTTGAACACTTGGAACGTGTCAACACTTTACTTATTTATACGGAAATTTTGTCAAAAATTAAGTGCCTATTTTTTTTACATAATTCGAATGAGAATCATGTACCGAGTATGCTCCTTAAATATTGATAGTAATTCACCAGTCACCCTGTATATTCAAGTCTATTTCAGTATCTCATGTATTTTGTGAAAAATATTATTTTTAATGGAAACATATTAAACCGGTTTTTAATATATGGGTAAATGGCTATGATATATAATAAAAATTATTATCAAAAAAATATTTCGTTATAACCCGTTGATGTCTTTATAACGGTTTCAATATGAGTCAAGTGAATATTAAAAAATATATATATCATAAAATTAAATCAATTTTCATATTTTATGAGAGGTAAAGCAAATTATATATATAGCTAATGTTATATTCGATAATACGGTCTTTATATATGTGAAAGTTGTTGAGAAAAGATGGATGGATGTTAGTCATTAGTCATTACTTTTTATTATTCAGTTTTCCTTTTTATGGTATTAAAGCTTGCATTATTTTGCAATACCATTCGAGTTTACTGACGGATTTTCTATACATATGTATTTCTATGTATATCTAGTTTAAATAAAAGGTACGCGAGAAATTCGTTCTCTCAAATAAGGACGTGAAAGGAGTTGACATCGTTTTCTTTTTATTATTTGTGTTCCGTTAAATCTTTTGTAATATAGTTAGGTTGAACGAAATGATGCTTTGTTTTTTTTTGTTTTGTTTTATTGTTTGTACCATACATTTTAAGTGGAAGGCCAGATGAGGTGTCAAATGACCGCGAAGGTCTCCTAACAATTACATGGCTTTATAAAGAACATAGATCTTATTTCACACCGCATAAGGAGAACAGTGAGCTATTTACAGAGCTAAATTACTTAGGATACCTATTAAAAGGTGTTGCTTATGATTTTGGAGGTCTATGATATTGGTTATTTACAACCAATTAACTATCAAAACTTCATACAACTTATATCATGAAAACAAGATACCTTTCTTTAATAGCATAAAGAAAATTAGCTTATACAAACTTTCGGTTCGTTCATATATAATCATACAGTTAAACACCGTGTGAATTAGGTCTTAGATTCTTCCTTCAAATATTTTTCTTATTCTTGAACACTATAGTGTGAATTCAGACTTATTATAATTGTATAGCTATCTTTAATATGAAGCAATGTAGAAAAATGTACACTTTATTATAAAAATTTAAATAAATTAATTTAAGAAGATAATTTTCATTGAACAGGATCAGAATCAAAATTCTAGGTATTCAAGACTCGGTGTCTTTACCAACGAATGAAGATTTAAGATGAGATTCTAAAACTCTTTTATTGCGTCTCAATAGTAATATATAAAGAAGAAATGTATACACAAATGTTTGACTTGTATACGAATAACTAATAAAAAACTTAGGTACATTATAGGTCTCCCAAGAATGAAATCCCTATTTTTATTGTCGTATGCCACTAATATATTTAAATTAAAAAAGTGTTAAGTATTAATTTATTACAACTGAATTAATGTATGGTCTATAAACTATATAAATTTAGATCAACGACAATATCAGAAACAATTTTATTAGTCGATTTAGTTTTGTATTATAATGGCCTAAATGAGAATTAAAACATTAAAGATGATTAATAGTCAAATACACAAGTCTTATTTTCACATTTTTTTAAATTACGTTCTGAAATATTTGACAAAGAAATTAAGTAAAGGAAGTGACAAATAAATTCAGTACTTAATTAGTATCGAGTATTTTAGTTCTCATGGTAATGGTCGGTAGTTGTAAAAACTTGGTTGTCTTTAGTTTTAAAGTTACCTACTTTGTAATTTAAATATTTGTTTATTATTAACTAAAATCAGAATTTAGTGTTTAACTTCAAATAATATTGAATCAAATAAAATCAATTCGTTATTTTCAATCACAATTATTAATTTTTAATGACTTCAAAATAAATTAAATCGTCCATATTTTCTCTTTATGATGGTAGTAGGAAGTAAAATTTACACCGATTATACAACTAAGTGTTCAGATAATTGAGAAAGTTTATATTTTAATGCTAAATTTAATTTCTGTTCCTTATTCATAACAAGAGTATTGTAACTTCATTGTGGTTTTAGGAGATTAGTTTTTTTACGGAAGTTTTGCAGTGACAGCACAGTTTATGTAATGTTATGCAAGTTAGGTAAGCTCTCTTCAAAAATAGTTTATATTTTCGTAAGTGAAAGTTAAATTGTAAAGCGGTAAGTGATGTTTAATGATTTCACAGATTATCGCGTTGAAAGAAGATGTACTATTATAATTGTCTATCAAAGCATGTCTTAATTTATATTCAGTAACAAAATCAGTTGATGAGTTTAAGTAAGTACAATCAGATGTATAGGTGTTTTAGTTTTCCTCGTAAAGCGTTGTTAAATAGTTGTTTGGATAATAGTGCAGTAATTAATATTAAAATAGAAAATATAGAATGAATAATTTATAGCCACGAGCAGGATTTAAACTTGCAACCTCCGGGGTATGGCGTTGCAGTTGTTTTACCAATTCATCCAATTTTTTTATAGATTACATTATTCATGATGATTATGTTTCAAGGGATCATTGTACAGTTCTGTCAAATAATACGCAGATAAATATGTATAGGGCTTCGTTTGAAAGACCTGGTCTATATATATTAATATAAAATAGAAATCAGAAAATAAATAGTAAAAGTAATAAATTTTCATTCCACAGTTTCATTTGAAATAGCTATTGATTAATTATTGATTCATTTTAATTATGGAAATCATAGAAATCCGTAAGAAGAACATTTAAACTCATTTATTACAGACGATGGACGTCCAATGAATAATAATTACCTCTTAGTGTCACCTATTTATTTATTCAATTAATATTTCTATTGTTATTTATGATTTATGAATCATTGTGCAGAATACTATTTGAACTTAATCATTATTGTTTCTTTTATTTCAAACTCTTTAATGCCATTTTTTTCCTTCATAAATATTATTAGAACTCTTTTAATAGTTGTTATTAAATTAATTATCTGTGGAATTAAGTCCACTTTGTGCGACATATTTTTAAAGACTAAGTAAGGATTATGACACAGAAACTTATAAATAAAATGTACATATATAAAAATAAGTTAAGACTTATATAAATGGCATGTATTGTTTCTCTCTGTATTATATTTTCAATATAATGAACTTATAGCTAGAATCACATATATATAATTCTTTACAGGAGTAATGCTTGTAAAGGGTAAAAAAGGAATAAGGTATTTGGCTCTGAAAAAGGCAAAGATGTACCTATTAAGAGAACACTACTAATTTGTACCTTTCACTTATTCAAGGATGTTTTAATACAAACACGAGGCTTTATTTCGAAACATTTGACCAGAGGTGTCGTCCGTAGACGCATTTTTTGATACTTTTATAAAATAGATCAACTTTTAAATATCTCTGCCAGTTTTAAAATTTAAAAATAATAACAAATTACGTGACATCATTCTTTTCAACTTATTAAAGTTTGATTTTCATTATAATATGCTTATTATACTAAATTAAATTATAATAAAACTAATAAATATATAATTAATTAGAAAATTTAACAGATTTGATATAATAGGAATACGATAAAAAGTCAAACCACTTCGAGAATAATATTTCCCCCTAGATTAATAAGTATCTTGCAAGGTAAGTTATATGAAAGTCAAAAATTATCTTCTACCTGGCAATTTCCCAGTTTTAGCCGGGGTCCGCCTTACATTTATTTATTTATTTTTGTTGTGAATAGTTTTGGCTAATTGTTCTTACAACCGGCCGCCTGCCTGACATGAACCCTCTTTGGGAATGCATTAATCAGTGATGTCTAAATATTCTTAGAAAGTGCATATGACTCGGAAAAATCACATTGGTACTTACCAGGATCGAACCCTCGACCTCATGCATGAGAGGCGAGCCTTGTAACCACTTAGGCCACCACTCACTAAATGTTATTTTATACTAATCTATTAATTGTTCTGCAGGCTTATCGTCAAAGGATGTCTTCATCGGTCCAAATCGCAAGGATCGCTGCTATAACTGTGATCGCCTCATCGTTTATTTTGGGCTCATTCATTCTGGCTTCAAGCTGGGTAGCAGCTCGATCATCATGCCATCAGCTTGAACAGCTCGATGCTATGCTTGACAAGGAACTAGCTCTGGAAGGAAGGCCTTATGGAAACGATGCGCTGATGCCGGTAAGTCTTATATGAATAAAACTACCCATATGTACGTCATTTATCGATGGTTTTACTTAAAGAAATTTGTTAAGTTAAACGCTTTGCGTGGCGTTCAATTCGCCACTTATGCAATAAGTAAAATTAATTCCCGAGTTGTAAGTATTGAAAATTACCACGGAAGGCTTATTCAACTTCTTACCGCGTGTTGCTAATGAAGAAACAGGCGAAAAGTCGAAGTTTGTTTCACCAAATAACTTTTGACATGCCTTAGAAATTTTATTTGGGAATATATTGCTACATTATCTTCGTATGTTTTTGTTGTTATAATTAATAAACAGAATCGGGTTTAATTCATTTTTAATATGTTAATGATTTAAATAATCTATCTCAAATGATATTTAATTGATCAGTAATTTAGTCGTTTTACGGAAACGTCAACCAAATAAGGATTTTAAATCATATTCTTATCGCAAGTCACCGGTTCATTGTATGTAAGTATTGTATTCCACCAAATTGTATACAACAGTAAATCACATGGTACAATCACTAGCAAATGATTAGTTATTACGTTCGGATTGTAATGTAACACGATATTGTTATGTGCAACCAAGAAAATACTGGAAGCGGTAATGTTATGGCTAAATTACTCTGTGAGGTTAGATCACAAGTAACACGTAGTTACTAAGAAATTTATATGATCTATAAAAAATAATAGGTAAACAGTTTTAACTGAAATTAAAGTATAAATTACATAATTAACACACTTGTATACAAATTCTTCTATACGTTTTTGTTTAAACGATATTTAATATCAGGAAGACAAAAACTATTAACAACAGAAACGGAAATTTGAACGCGTGAAGTAAATTTATATGACATATAGTGTTGAAATTGTTAGACTTGACATCAAAATGTATTGAATAGAAATCAAACACAAATAACATTTTACAAATAAGAATCAGAAATCTGGAATAAATACTTCAAGATGGACGGAGTTTTCACTAACAAAATTGAAAGTTACTTAGTATCGGGTTCCTTTGGCCGTGTAGAAAAAGATTTAACCATAAAATCTCCTAGGACTGCACGTATTTTCTTCCCAGTGGCGCGACTCCGGGACTTATTTCGCTCACGTGAATTCCGTGACTTGCATGATAGAGGGAGTACTTTAAATTCAGTTGCAATTTATCGGTGGATGACGGATTTAGTCCCGGGTCAATAACGTCCATTAATAACCTAATTTATTGTATATCTAGTGTAATACATGTGTTTTGGTAAATTCAATTGTTTATGAACATAAATTGAAATTGTGTTTGAAGATAACAAAAGATAATAATTCATGATTCGTTTCCGCATCGCCGATCGCGATGTAATGTAGGACTGTTTGAATATTTTTAAATATTGTCGTCAAACAATATAATGTGTGGTCGCATACATGTTTACAATACAAAGTTTGTTGAACTTTGGGCTTAACTTAACAGCCTCTTAAGATTCAAAACATGACTTTATTCGTGGGAAAATGTTTTCTCATTGTTATCGCGCGACAATCAATGACGGCCTAAGATCCTATTAACCTAGTGTTTTTATCCCACGTTTAAATAAACACAAAGTTTATTTTTATGCAAGTCTACAAACAGTGACTAACAAAGCAACAGCTTAATTTCCATATAAAAATAAAACGAATATTTAGACATTACACCCTTTTATTTATATATAAATAATATTAAATATATTGTATATATTCTCTCATAAGTACAAGATACCATCGGTTTCGGTACAGGTTACTTTCAAGCACGTTAGGTTACGTGTTAATATTTCCGGTGACGCAATTATGTATGCACGCCTCTGTTGCGTATTGCTCTGTGGTGCTTGTGTTGTGCGGACGGTGCCAAGCCGCGACGCCGCCACACCAGATCACCTTGAATCTTAATGTTACGCAAAGATGAGTACCAACATGGCTTAATGATCCGCAGTACTGTTGGGAAATTAATACTAAAATAGACAGATTTCAAAACAACACTTGCATATTGATGTATTGTGTTAAACTTTGCGAATTAACTGCATAACATCGAAACATCGATTATGTTTTGCCTTTATTGACCTTTGTTTGAAATTTACAATGTCTAAATAGTCGTATAGTTATTTCTATTTTGACTCATCCTAATATGATTTGTTACTGAGTATATTTTTGTTTAGTTTAATTCATAAAGCGCAAAATTATTTACTTCCAGTACGTTTGTAATGCTTACAAACGGTTACTTATATGTAATTAAAATTAATATTCATAGGTTTTACATGCACAAATGTGAATAAATCATATAAAAAAATGAACTGCAATGAAACAATGTTGATATCCTTTTGTTATGTACATGTATAAGGTATATTAGTGCATCTGAAACAGATATTAGACGAGAAAACGTCCATTTTGGATGAACTATTGAGTATTGACTATGTATTTAGAGTGCATTTTTAACGATTACTCAGTAAGCGGATCTGCATCGAAGCGTGGAGGTCAACCCGGACCAGCTCACGGCGCATTTAAAGGACTTAAGCAATATATTTTAGTTAAACTCGGTACCGTATAGTTTGCCGGTAAAATCTAATTTATATCTCCATTGCCGTCAGAAAATACAGATGTCCGGAACAAAGTTTTTAAAATAAACTTAAAGTTTGTCCGCCATAATGTTATTACAGTTTGGTGCTTTTATGATACTCGTATAATGCAAGAAGGAAGCGATTCAACTTTAATCCTGAAATCGGATTTTTGCTTCTAAAAGAACTTTAAAAATTATATTATTTAATGTTTCCTTGTTCCTTTTTCTATATTGGTTTCGAAAAAAACAAATGAAAGCCAATCTTTTTTCGTAATGTCATATAATCTAAGATATGTAATTAAACAATCATAAATAATTTCTAAAATATAAATTAATATTTATATGTGATTTTAAAAGTAACCTGCGATTTATGAGAGTGATTGTACAGTGATGACGAGATGCGTTTTAAATGTTGACATAAAGCAACGACTGAAAGACTGATGTGCCTGATTGTTTAGCGAAAGTTGCGACCCAGGTCAACGACCTCGTGTGGCATAACATAGAGAATCGAGTTTCGAATGTATCATCTTGAAGACGAACACACAGTTGACATTCGCATAGTATTTGTTTAATTAGTATTCATGAATATTTTTAAGAACATATAAATTTAAATTTAGCAAAGTAAAATATACAATATATATTTATATAGATCGTGATTTGATATGACTCACAGATATTTAGGTGTAAATTCTAAATATTTTCTTAGGATAATTCTAAACATAGGGTACTTTTAATCGGGAATCATTATTGGGTAAAAACAATCAACTAGTTTCTGGTTGGAAATAATCAAAATAAAGGAGTAAATTCTTATCTAATCCGGAATATAATTTTAAATTATCATCAAAAGAAAAACTTTTCATATATACGAAATAGAGAAGAAAATATTTGAGTAAAAATAATAATACTAAAAGTGTCAATGATTGTCCGCAGGATACGATTTTAATAGTTTTTGATATCTCAAATCCTTATTCGGATTAATATACATATAAAATGAAAACATTCAAATTTGATTTGATTCATTGCTTTTATTTCGATTGGATATGGCTTAAATGTAATCCCAAGCGATGGTAGGGAGAAATAAAACCGTAAAATAGACCAAATTATAAAATGCAACTAATTTTCCGGTACTTGGTTGAGTAAATTATAAAGTTTAAGGCTTTCTTCACAGACGTATGTTATTTAAAATAAAATTCTACACATAGTACAATTTCTACAAAGTAATGCATAGGTCAATATAGCAGTTGTACATAATATTAATGCCTTCCAAAGAAAATGTAATGAAAAAGTCTCTGCAATACTGGGAAAAAGTAATAAATGTTGCGTGTCGTATGAAGACTTTTTTCTCGGTTTTAATAGATAATGTCTTTATTATATTTAAACTGCTTTCCCTTTGAGCGATTTTCACTTTCTATTAAGTTCAGTTAACGGTAAATTATGCATCCCTAATTGTGAAGTAATTTCGATACGGTTCTTTATTTTGTATATAAATTATTCATAAATCACTATTTACATTAAGCATGAACATGTTTAACCGATTTATAAAAACCAATGTATAATTGAACAAAAGTACTTTATTATATTGAAAAATATATTGTTTTATTGATAAAAATTAAATAAATATTTGAAAATTATATAATAGATTTTTGTATTTTTAAATATACAATATTTTGACATCGTATTTTAAAATTTCAACCATGTTTTAAATTTTTTCTTTTTTAAATAAACTTACTTATACATTACTATAACACAGAATTTTCTCAATATCTATAGCTATTGGATAATAAGCACACATACTAACTTTCACATTCACGTTACTGGGAAAGGATTGAATAATATTACAGACTCGGTAATGTTTAAATTATAGTACCATACTAGTAATAAAAGTGATATAAAACGTAATATTTCCTCATAATATTTCCACTATTCAATACACTATAAATATTTAACACTTCAAATCAGTGAAACCTGTGTGACCGATCGCGTTAACATTACTGTTTAAACAAAACTGTTCTTCCTTTTATTGAAATTAAAAAAAAAACGTAAGGTTCCTAATTTAAATGCGAAATATTTTTTAAGTATTAATGAATATAAACGAAAATTAATTATAATTTAAAGTGTAAACTCAATAAGATTGCATAATAAACATTGCTTTGAAAATTAAATCACAATATTGAAGTTATTTCCGACATCAGCTAAGGAATTGGAATTTCCACTATCTTCCAGAGTTCATCGCGATAAGGAATGCACCATCTTTTTAAGAACGGATGAAAAAAAAGTTAGTATTTAAAATCTATAAATGACTAGTTTCTGCACGCGACTTCGTCCGCGTTAATTTCAGAATTAGTAATATAGCTGACCGGGCGAATTCTATTCTGTCGTACAGGCTGAAAATAACCAGATATTGGAATTTATTAAGTTTTTTCTTTTCGACCGAACAGAATGAAATATCTTATGTCCGTCTCCTGGTTCTCAGCTGCCCCCCCCACCAATTTTCAACTATATCCCTACAGCAGTTCTCGAGTTATGAATAGTGTAACTAACTCAACTTTCTTTTATATACATATATAGATATTTAAATTATTTCATTCTATGGTTATGCTCTAACATTATACATCATAATTGATGTACGGTAGACGGATGCTGTCAATTTTCTACATCCGTCAAGTAATATCTGGTTATGATCATTAATTGCATCGCGTGCCTTCCACCTGATATGCATTGATAAATTTTTATGCGCGTCACTGAAATATACATATACATATATATAAAGAGAGAGTAAGAAAGATAGAGAAAGAAAGAGACAGAGAGAGAATTAATTTTTACATTATGAAGACGACTTTAAATTTTCAGTAACTCAATACTAAAGTTATCTTAAGTTTGTTTTGTGAAAAGGAAATTTGATATTCTTTTCTAAACATGAGTTAAGAGTAAAGTTTGTTTGCATGAGTAATTACAGACAATAATCTATTATTGGGAAGGGTTGAAGAAGACGTAAAAATTTGTGTTAGTCTCTAGTTTAATGTAAAACAACGAATATGATTCCAACTTCCTTGTTATCATGCAATCAGTCAGTTAAAGTTTCGTAAACGAGTAAATGTTGTAGGCGGGACGCAATGCGACAATTGTAAACGTAATCTTTGTTTTCTATTTGCTGCGGTCTCGCTTCGATACACATTAAAAACTAACGCCAATATTAAACTTTCTCATTATTATTATATAAAACTAAAAATATATATATGTTTAATGTGTTGATATTTTAAATGTACATAAAACTGAATTCTTTAAGCAACATCGATATAAAGCGAGGAGCCAGTATGCGAGTACAACGAAGAGTGATTACGTAAAAACCTTATTTCCAGAAACCTCCTTTGACTCGGCAAAAGTACATTTCATATCTATATCGAGAATTTTCCAATACAATATTATTGCGGTTCTTTATAAAATGAAAAGCATATATTCATTTAAATCTACATTCATTAAAATTTATATTTCATTTTAATTGAAGATAATATTTCATATATTAACGAACAAAGGGTAAAAACGAATTTTATCATTATTCATCACAGGCGTAGAACAAATGAATCTGCTATGGTTGAGAACTATATTAAATATTGATATAAAATTTTACATAAAAAGAACTGTATTGAAATAACTACATGTTAAATTCATAGATTATAAATATCTTGTTAAAACTGGAAATTACATAAAAGTAATAATTATAAGTGAAATAGAGTTAGATTGTAAGAATAAATCTAAAATTTACATTAAGTTACTTTACAACAACACACATCGTATACAGGGTGAAGCTAAAATGTCACATTATTTTACTCTTCTCTCATTCGAAGCACATACGTATTGGCTTATAGATTTACTTTCCTTTCATGGATCATTCGTCACATCCTGTATACAATTTAAATTTAAATCTTCAAATGTATGTTGTTGAAGATTTTATAATCGTACAATACTTTTTTTATTTAAATATTATTGTTAAGATGTTTATTTAAAATAGACGCTGGCTAGAAGCAAGTATTCGAGAAAAGATTTGACAATTAACTGTGATGTCATTTTCAATATATAAATAAGAAAATGCAATTGACATTGACAAAATATTCCACGATTCAAGTGTGAATGGAGCCATAGCATAAAAAAATCAACGAAAATAATAAGAATTAGAGTTTTTAGTATCCTGATATTTATTATCTATGACTTGTTTCTTATGATGTCTTTTTGATATATTACGCAAATAATAATAAACTACATACATATATAATATATACATAGATCGTTTAAAATTGTTCTTGTCTTTGTATTATTTTTATGTATGTTACAGTATATGTTTGTTAAACATAATTTTCAACGTATATGTTGTCATTGTATACTAGGTATAATAAACATCAATTTTGACAATCTACACGAAGTATTTAAAAATGCGGTTGTATTTCTTGTAGAGGTTTTTAATTATATCCATTCTTTTATATACTTTTGATCAACTATTCTAGTATTTATTATTGATTTCAGAACATAGGTTAAGTATACTTAGAGAATCACCTCGTCTGTGTACCTACAAAGGGAATAATAATTGTAAGAATAGTTTAGAAGAATAAGAATCTGCTATAATTGTTAACATTATATGGTTGTTTGTTGTTAGGATGACTTAAGCAATTTTTAAATTAATAAAAACATTACTTTATCGCTAAGTTATACATAGATAGATTACAAGTCTTATGAATTTTATCGTTATGTCAAAGTCTATTTATATATGAGAATACTTGTAATTATTTATCGATATTATAATTCCTTAGAAACAAAGTCTAACTTATCTCGTTATACAGTCTACATGTTAATAATATTAAAATATATGACAATTTAAACATGACGTGTCTAACAAAACGTGACATGCTAACAGCATGGTCACCTATTTGCGTAGGACTTCCCCATTTGGTTGTCTTTATATGTATTTTTTATTCTAAATATAGTTTCCTATATGTAAATTTACTTCCAGGTTATCTTTTAATGAAACAAGAAAGTATTATTTAAATCTTTTTTTACTCTATACAGTAGAGTAATAAAGTTTTTGATATTTTTAATCAAAGTCAAAAATAGCATTAAATGCTTGTTGAGTTAGTGCACACTATTTATGTTTTGAACATTCGTCTAGATTCATGGCCTTACATTTTTTGCTCTCATCCCTATATGTCAACGACGACTAATATATACTTGTAGGTGACATTCATGTCTGAAATTGAACACAATTGAGCGTGGGTTTACAGATTATTAAATGTTTAGATATATCCTATTAATCAATGATATTTTGTGAACATATAACATTGAAAGTAAACACACGTTTTTTAAATTTTTACTTCATTTGAAATGTTTATCAAATTTAAACGTACAATGGAAAATTATTCTAAAATTATTTAGTAATCATAAGAGCGTTGCGTAAGAAGCGACTTTGCTATAGCCGCCATTTTGTGACGAACATAGATGTTTTTTTCTGAAAGTGAACGGCGTCAAAGGTTTTTGTTTTGATGTATTTATAGTATAAGAAACTGACCTTTTACTATAATTATGACCAAATATATGTAAATTTTTAATAATTATAGATCAAATCTATGAACGATGAACAATGTCAGAAGACTTTGTGAATTAACTAGTTCATTTTCCAATATAAAAAAAATATAAACGTGTTAGTGCATACTCAGATATTAAATATTTAATTAGATAAGCCACAAAAAGATTTTATGAAGCGATTTTTAATCTGCTCTTTCTTAATGCGATACTTATCCTCTAGGATATAGATATTAAATTAGGTGTATTTCTAGGCGTACTTCTTTATTTTTTCACCACTTCCACAAAAAACAAAGTACGTACGTTCAAAGTACTAAACTTAAAAATTGTATGCATGCATTTTGAAACGATTATCCTCTTTGCTTTGACTTTTGACACAGCAAAACTACTAGAGTGTACTTAAAAATGGATATAAAAACTAGCGCAATCTTTTAGTTTGTTTGACTTCATTTAATACACAACAATTATATAGTGACAAAACATAGTAGGCATATATTTTATTCTGACGCTTAAATACATTTTACAAAATTTCTTTTTATCCCATTAAGCAGATTTTGTATGAAAAATTTAAAATATTAATAGGATAATGCTTTTCTAAACATTTTGAAAATATATTGAGACATTTTCCTTAAAATTTACGCTGCATCTGATGACGGATCATAAATATTTGTCAATTTGTTATTTCATGTTGGAAACACGTAAATATTGGTTCAAATTTTGGCTATCCACTGGCTTCAGATAATATTTACAAAACGTTACTCCATAAAAATGTTAGGAGGTAGCAAAGACGTATTTTTTCCTCAAATGATTTTATTTCAAAACCTTGAGTTTGATATAATATGTATGATAATATAAAGATGTAACATAAAATTTCTTGTATCGTCCGAACGTGATTATGTATAGCACTACATATAATGATCTGCTTCCGTCAGTTGTGTACAATTTGATGTTATTTTTGTTAATCATTATGGTGACTTCTATGAAATAAAAAATATGGTCAATTATGCTTAAAATATTATCGTTTAAAATCGCTTTGTTATTTATGTAAAAATATATTAATATCAGATATTTTTTTTAAAGGAACCACTTCCCGTGGCGAATGCTCATGCATTACATGGTCAGCCTCCATTGGCTGAAGAGACTACAGCAGCGCCTGTTCAACCCAAGCTCTCTCCTGATAGCTTGCTCAAAGAAGATCCTCTTAATCATGAAGAATCCAAGATCGATGAGGACAAACTACAGGTAAAAGCAAAACTTATATATATACACATGTATATAAAATAACGATTTCAACAAGTAATAATGTACGTCTAACAAATACTTACAAATAAATATTTGAAGAAAGTAAGGAGCCCTCTGAATAAGTTTCTTTAGAAAGTAAAAGTTGTTTCTTATTTACGAATTAAATATATATTTTATCTGTAATGAAAGTTCAAGCGGAATTAATGTACGCGAGATTTCGATCGATTAATTTTATGACCATATTGTACGCATCTAAAGGCGATGTTACGACATGTGCATCCACGTGAAAGCGTCATTAGCTTGTTTGTTCTTCAATAATATTAATGGATACGGTCTAATCAACTTGCGACATTTGAACTCGGCTATCGTGTTGCGTTTACCTTAACGAGCATACCGGCAGTGAGATCGGGAATGACGGTGTTACGTTATGGCTTATGTAAAACGAACAATCATTTCAATATATCGGGTTAAATGTATAAATGCATGCGATGGAGCGTGGCTATGCAACAAATGACACAGCTTTCACTCGCTTTGTGCTACCCCTCTTAGACCGCACTGCATGTGAAAGCGGTCACAGTTTATGTATTATCTTTCTCTTCGATTTAATCGGCTATACATATTTGAATTGTTACCTTTATTATACTATATTATTTTATGTAATATTCAACAGTATCATCGATTTAAATAAAAGATATCTGCTCAAAAACATAATATGTATTATTTAATATTTATAATTACAATAGAAATCAACTTCAATACGATACAAAATGTACATATATGAAAAGGTAAATCGAATATCGGATGCCGGTAATTTATTTAGGAAACAGAATATAATAATTTTATGAAAATCCCAAATATCGTAAATCAAATGTTCCTTCCTAAATTATCAGCGGCAAATTCAATCCAGAAACTTTTGGAGTCGAGTCTCGATTTTACTTTTATTACTTTCTTTGCATGCGAAAGTCCAGAAAATTCTGAGATAATGTCCCTTTGATATGCTAATCTTGTTTCGGGTGTCTAATTTTGACTTGGGACCGTTTTTGTATAATGATTTTAATAGCTTCTGATAGTTGGATGTGAATAATGCATTCAGGTCTCATCGTAATATTATTATTGCGTTTCATTATCAATATTGGATATATCTCTGGCTTAATTAAATAATCCTTTGAATTGCCAGCAATATTTACAAACGGGGGGCGGTAAAACAATGCCTCGTGGTTGCATTGTCTCTAACAGGATGTCCGAGAGTATTGTGTCCGGCAAACAGTACAGAACGAAATATCTGTTACATACGAGATTTTCAACATTAATACAATTTTATTCAGTAATAGCTTAATTATATGTTTTCATTAAAACCGTTCAAATAAAATTATCGCCATATTGACGTATTGACGAAGGAGTAACATATTTTTAGTATTTATTTAGATATTAGAGATTTAAGTTAATAATGAAAACGGTCCTAGTTATGTTTTGTATGCTATTTATTCCATGTCACTGCGGAAGCTTGCATTGTAACCAAATTGGCGTTCATTGTGTCACACAGTAATCCTAGTTTGTGACCACGCGTTCAAAAATACTTTCATAATAAATGTTACTTTAAATTTTTCTGAACGAAATTTTAGTGAATTGTTAATTTTAATATAATACCTTTGGTGATTACAGAAAATTGATGATGATAAGGCTGACACGGCAAATTCTAGCAGCGATGAGAGCTCTGAGTCTGAAAACTCGAGCGAGGACGAAGATGACGACTTCATCAGACCATTGATCAAGATGCCCACAAACCTTGACCTTACAGAATTACTTCGTGCTTCCTTTCCTAGCAATCAAAAGTATGTTATTAAATTTTAATGTATTAATTAAGACTCCGTTGTATGAACTTGATGAAAATTTCGGCCAGTCCCATTGGTCGTGATCACAATCTGGCCCGTCAATGCAAATTTTTAGCAATATGTTTTTATTATACATATATTTTTCTTTTGAATTGCATGATGGTATTTTCTAAGGGAACAAAATGTTTTATATTTAAACTACGTCGAATTTCTAGATATTGATGATCAAAGAATAATACAAACGTTGAATAGTGAGGGGAAATCTAGGCAGATGTATTTAGAGTAAATAAGTATTATTTCAAAGAAATATTATATTATGTTCCAATAGCTAGAATTCATGGAGATAAATATAAATAAGGCTGCCAAAGTATTGTATTGTTATCGTGAGTGCCTAACCTCGTGTGTCCAGATGCGAGGATTTGTGTCCCAAAATTGACATTGTTCTACAATTCCGTTTTGGAAATAAATATATCAAAATATTCCCTGTGGAATCCTTAATAAATTTGATTGACACGATTTTCAACAGCCCATTTGGATTTTAATAAACTCGAAGGGAACGCAATAGGATCACCAACTCCTTCGGGATTTTTGGGATTCATGATCGCATTAAAATATATTCTCTTTTTGTTTTGAGAGTGTCGTAATTCATTAGAAATAACAAATATGATTTTTGTAATTCCAATATACTTAATATTTAGGAGGGAATAAAGAAAAAAAATGTTCATTTTTGTATGATACATTGTCATTGTATATGTCTTCTTAAAACGTTCCAAGAAGTGAAGGGTCTGAAGGTAATCTGGGTTTCTGGGCTAAGTAATCTCCTAACAATGTATGTATATATTATATACATATGTACGTATATTGATGTATCGAAGAAATTCCGACAATTCATTGTTCGCTAAGGATATTTGAAGTATACCTACGAATGATTGTTTCATACAACAATTGACAAGCCATGACCCTATTTTGTCTATTGTGTTGAAATTATGAATGCGAAAAAACGCCTTGACTTTCAGATATTGTGAGATCCACGAAACGTTGATTTCCATTTAATTTCCTTGAAGATTTTGTTAAATTATTATTCACTTATAACTTTTACGAGATCTTGAAGTACTTATTGTGAAAAAAAATATAATGCAAATAAAAGTATTGTACATGCATATTCTGACTACCATTTTCATGGAATCGACGGACATTTATTGGACGTAAAACATATTAATGACTATAGTAAAGAACGTTTACAATGATTATTATGTATTCCATAACGACTGTTACAGTACAATAAACTACTGAATCGATTTTCACACTGGCCACTTACTGACAGAATACAACCAATATACATGCTTTTATTTCGTGATAATGAAACTTATAAGCGATAATAATTATGGATGTTTTTATTCCAGAGATCGCATGAACTGCGTCGTCGAGCACCGCAATGAAAATCCCATAGAGCGTAGATTCCCATTCAACATCCTAGGAGCACTCGCGCCTCAAGCTAAGGGCGAACGCATCTCCATCATCTGCCATGAACACGACGACAGGTGAGGCTTATATACTAATATTATATATATATCCCCGTGATATATACTTCACATACACATACTACTATGGTATATTTTTTGTATCTTATATATGTATATATACAGGGTGACTGGTGAATTACTATCGATACTTCAGGACGTGATATTTGACGATCATATATGACAGAATAAAAATTAATATAACATAAATATTAATAAACTTCTAAGTAAAGTTAACCAAAAGTTATGTAATTAATTACGCATCGTGTGAACATCCTACAGATTAGGTATACACACACACTCACACATACGCGCGCGGCGGCGTAGTGTTGTATCAGCACGCCGCCACACGCGTCCACACTTGGAACACTTGGAACGTGTCAACACTTTATTTATTTATACGGAAATTTTGTCAAAAATTAAGTACCTATTTTTTTTACATGATTCGAATGAGAATCATGTACCGAGTATGCTCCTTAAATATTGATAGTAATTCATCAGTCACCCTGTATATTACACACACACACACACACATATATATATATATATATATATATATATGTATATATATGTGTGTGTGTATATATGTATATATATGTGTGTGTGAGTGTGTGTGTGTGTGTGTATATGTGGACATATGTACGTCATGAAATAGCGACTTTTTTATATTCAAGTTAATAATCCTGTTTTTGACTGCTTTGAACTGAAACGAGGCGATGAGAAAAGTTATAAGAAAATTTATGTTTTCAAGCTAAGGTAACATTAAAAACTGAATTCATTATTATTATTAGTAGCAATTAACCGAGCTATTTCAAAGTTTTATTTATTTATTTCTAATAAAAACTTTAGTGTTTAATATGAAAAAGAAGTTTATTTTACGTCTATCTAATAATGTAACGATTAATTAATTAATAATTATACGATTATGATTATTCGACGATTCCATACAAGATTTCCTTCTTTTTAATTAGTATTTGATTTACTATTGCACTGAAAAATTATGTTTTGTTTTTTGTACAAAATATTAATCTCGTAATTACAAACACTTCTGGATGTTTTTATATATAATCTGCGTTTCGTGCAAATGTCTGTTAAATATACAAGCCCTATTCCGCGACTATGTCTGTATTATAATATTTTTAAAATGTCTAGTACCGCGAAGTCAAATATCACTTATAAATTAATATAAACAACCAATATTTAGATCTATTTGCAAAATATTTTTTCTATCTAGCTCTAACAATATTATGGCTTTATAAATTTCACTATTATGTATACAGCAATTTTTTTTTAAAGATTTGACGAGCCCACTCTAAAAATTTCTCTGATAAACAGAAAGACAGAAAGATCTTTATATGTATTTATTTTGGAATAAAAAAATTTAAAGATAATAAAATAGCATATACTTTTATAAACTCCATATTTATATATTTGAAATGAACCAAATTATTATAATTCTTTTATTCTTACGCAAAAAACCTCCGAGTTTTGCACGAAATTTATTCCGTCAGAAAACTAATTGACTTAACAGATGGACGGACAGCAACACTTAAGTCACGGAATCTTAATAATGTTCATTCATTATTTTTTACCCAGGAGAATTCCTCTCTAAATTATAGCAAAAAATATATATCTCAAATGTTACAGAAAAAGTTTTATCAGAGCTAGACTTAGTGTAAATAATATATAGGAGATTCTCTTTAAGTTTTTCGTAAAGCTACTTAAAACTTACCACTTAAAATTTAGTGTTATTTTTGAAGACACATTGAGACATGTTTAAGAAATGCCTAGTTTTTTAAAAGACCTCTGAATTTTAGCTTCAGTTTGTTTTTTCGTAACTTTCTATTTCTGTATAACAATGTTTTTACTGTTAACATTATCGGAAAGTTTCTAGCATCTACTTGTTTTGAAACAGAAATTACAACACTAATATAAGTCAAACAAAGTTCAAAATCAATTGGCAAACATACAGTACGATATAAACAAGCGAACTAATTTGCTTACTCGCGATAGATGCCGACTTTAAATACAAAGGCTATATGGAACCAAAACTTAGAAAAATGTTCTTATTTTTATTTGTATGTAATAGTATCTTAAATAATATCATATTATAATAAAAAATATACAAAAATTTATGGCAGCAAATGAGAAATATTTTATTTGTACAAAGTATTATTAACATAATTAAAAATGTTCATTAAATGAAATACGTTAATGAACCCAAAATTTTTTTACTTCGTCAATATCGTTATGTTATAGTTTCTAAAACTATACAAATATTAAATATCAGAAATTTCTAAAGAACATTCTAACTGTAAGACTTTGTTTGAGAATACATACAAACTATAAGTACTGCTACGAATTGCTATTGTTTCAGAGCCATGCCAGTATTCCCTGACCCCCAGTCTCAAGTGTTCGCTTTCCCCCTGACGGGTCCAGTTCGTTTGCCGCTCCGCCCCGCCCCGGAACAGAGAGAGCCTAGAGGACCCTTCCAGATGCCGCAGAGGCCTTTCCTACCTGTAAGTACTTAAGTATGTAGATATTGAAATTGTTTCGTGTACTATTTGAGTTCGTATTATACTGAATGGAATGATGAAGGTGTATAAGTTTATAGCAACATAAAAAAAATAATTCTCGTTAATTATTATTACAATTAGACTACATTTCATAAAATAATTTCAAAATGAAATATTTGCTTGAAATAAATAACTACGTTTAATAACGAGTTTGGTTTCAACTGTTTTTCCATTGGAGTATTTTTTTTCTAGAAAGCAATTAGGATCTTTGATTATTTGAATCCGTAATACATACAAAACGAAAATTAATAATTTGTTTTAAATATGAAACGCGAGTTAAATATGGATGATAGTATAAAAGGTTTTTATCGAAAAATCATCTCTATTCAAAGTATCTTTTATCAATGAACTTTAACAAAGCGCGGTTTTAATTGTAGTTCTTCTGAAGCCTAATTTCCGTTTCCACCGCTTATTATTGAACGCATCCTTGCTGAAAATCGACACAATGGAAAATTAAAATCCAGAAATACCAACCGACTTCATTTTAAATTTGTTCTAGCACTATTTCGATGTTCTAGCAAAATATATGATATGTATTTTAAAACTTTTTGCCTTTTCCATCCCTACTAATATAATAAATGCGAAAGTAACTCTATCTGTCTGTTACGCTTTCACGCCTAAACCACTGAACTGATTTTCATGAAATTTGGTACAGAGATGAAGTTGACCTTGAGAGAGAACATAGGATAGTTTTTATCTCAGACTTTTTAAAGGTTCTCTTGGAAACGCGATATAACCGAACTCCACGCGGGCGAAGCTGCGGGCGGACAGCTAGTATAAATATACATGTTTTTATTTAGTTAATATTAAATTCTTGATATCAATATCATTTTATATTGAATTTATTAAAAAAAATGTTTGTCTATTGAAATATAACTTTGATTCTTTAAAAGAAAATATAATTAGTGATTCAATATCAAAATTTCCACTTAATTGAAGGTAGCAAGATCCTGTTGATGCTTTAACAAATATTTTTTGAGACCGTCCATTAACGAAATTGATTTTGTATCAAACAAGTAACGTTTTATTGAGAGGAAGTGACAACGCTATGGAATATGTAATTGAGGACATCCTTTATAACAATTTGTATAAACTTACTAGTTTTTGCCCGTGACTTCGTCTGCGTTACTTTCAGAATTAGAAATTTATAGCTGACCGGGCGAATTCCATTCCTCCTTAAAGATAGTAGATAAGAAGATTTTGCATTTGATCATCTCATTTTTTTTTGCTTTTTCAATGGCATGAAAAGTATCCTGTTCTTTCCCTTGTTCTATCTTTCAGCTGTTTTAGTTATAAATAGTGTAACTGACTCAATTTTCTTTTATATACATATAACTAGTTTTTGCCTGCGACTTCGTCCGCATAAATTTCTGAGTTAGATATATATTATGTATAGCTGACCGGGGAACTGTATTTTGCCTTAGAGGCCATTAATACCCAAATATTGAAATTAATTAAAGTTTTTTTACAGAACAGAATTAAATATCCTATGTCCGTTTGTAGTTATAAGCTATCCCCTCACCAATTTTCAACCATATTCCTTCAACCATTCTTGAGTTGTAATCAATTCAATTAACACGACTTTCTTTTATATAAATAGAAGATGTTTTTGCGTTACTAGTGATGTCAATTTAAATAATATATAGTTGTTTAGTATAGTACTGTAAGGAAAATGTAAACTGAGCAACTCGCTTTACCGATATCATTCTAGTGTTCTGGGCTTCATTAATTTTCTCAATTCCATCTCAAGAATGGGGACGCATCTGTGTGATACGACTATGAGCTAAGGAATTCATTTTTCATCACGAAACCTTTTGCGCATTTGTTATTCTTAGCATGTAATTTTTTTAGATATAATCAAATTTAATTAAGTAAATTACCTATTCGTGTTTTAATACATGTATTTTTTTTATTTAAGATTTTTTTGATACGTGCATATATTCGACGGAAAATTTTACGTTGTAAATAAAAAGCTCAAATGATATAGAATAGTCAATACAAATGAAACTAATATTTTGCGGATATACTACGCGACGGCAACCGAAACGTAAGGAGTATGTAGTTTTTATCTTCTATATATAAAAATGGATTGCTGTTCCTTAGTCTCGCTAAAACACGAGAACAGCTGAACGGATTTATCTTATCTTAGTCTTGAAATGTTCGTGGAGGTTCAGGGAAGGTATAAAAGCTGAAAAAAAAAATAATTTCCGGGAAAATCCTAAAAACAGCGCTTTTCTATTTCCCATACAAACGGGTTTTTTGACATTAGATATGACAACTAACTAATATGTCAATCATTCTGTCGCACTTTAGAATACGGAGATTTATGGCTCTATTTCTTGATTGAGGCAGTACGAAGTCTGCCGGGTCAGCTAGTCAAAAATAAAGTCACGTAGTATATCCGCAAAATATTAATTTCATTTAAATGACTCGCGAAAATCTCAGATCTTATTAATACTCAATTCAACTAATGTAATGGTATAGATATTAATTCGTGTGCATTTTTTTATATACTACGTTGTTGTACCGGCCTTTGTACTAGTGACTATGAAGTTACGATTTATTGTGTATTTAAAATAAGTGTACAAATATTAGGAGTGAAACGAATAGTATTGAATGATAGTCTCACGTTTATTAGAACAGACATTTTTATTTAGTAACAAATCAAATTCGATATTGGTTATTTATATAAAAGAGCTGAAATTAGTCTTATTTTCTATAGTAAAATGAAATCTTTTAATGAAATCGGTATAGATAATTAAATATGAAATAAACCTTTCTTATGTAAATAAGAAATGATAAATTATAAGCGTGAGGTTTATTAAGAAATAAGTGCTATTAAATTCAATTTATTTATTATCAGGGATAGGTTTTAGCATTCCTATTCCTATTACCATTCCTCTTTCCATCAAAAAGTTTATATATGAAATATAATTTAAAAATTTGAACAACATTATTAGTTCTAATTTTTTTAATACTGTTTCGCAGGCATTCATTTTATCAAGCAAATACAATATAAATCATTTGTAACATTTAATTCTTGAGTAATTTAGCGAAACATTTGGTAATGGTTATTAAATGCGTGCTCTGGCAATTTTTCCCCTTATAAGAATAAAGTAAGTGATTTTGCCAAAACCGGATTGTTGTTGCATAAGTCCATGTGCACGCTGCACACTCAAAGTGCAATGACCCGTTTATTTTAATTGTATCAATATATTTAGTGAATACGTACAAAAAGTAATATATGTAATAATAACAAATTGTTTTTGGTTAAATTATAATATTTTTAAATTTTTATATGGTTTTTAGCGTTGTGGAGTTAGCAATGTGTATATTTTTAATAACTCAGTTTTAAAGATAACGGCCTCTTTATTTTCTCATCGACCACTGATTACAAACTACTTTGAGCATAGACTATGGATTTAATTGACATTTTATTCTGCGGTATACAATTTAATTCATACTGTCTAATATAAAACCTCATACTTCTTTTTATTTTTAGGAATATTTACAACCAGGTTCAAAAACCTGTTCTTATTTTAAAAATTATGTTGTTTTTGTATTACTATATTCTCTTTAAGGTGTGCAGCCTTCTGGAAGTTTAATTTTAGGTCAAAATTTTGTTTTGAAAGTCTTTCACAAATATACGTTCTTGATCTTAATGTAGATAAATGAGTCGGTTAACATCAAAGCGATTTTTTTATCAAGTCAACAGAATAATTAGCTTTAACAGGTTAATTCAACGTAACAACTGTTTTGAGGTCACGTGGAAATTTAGCAATATAAGGAAAATTCAATATATTAATAATGGCTCTATTAAATAAAAGTTTGTTTATGTATTCGAAGATTGTGGATAGTTGAAGAGTATTTGTACACTTAATAATAAAATAAAAATCCTATATATATTTATTATAAAAGTACATATATAAGTAGCGACTCTATACATTACATACTCGTATTTAAGCAAACACGCACATAAAAAATTATATATATACACAGAAATAATTTTGTATTCAATCATATTAACAACATATTTCAAAGAAAAAAGTGTCTTTCTTCATTTCGAAAAATATAAAAACATATATTGTAAGAAATTATTTATCTTTCCTTTATAAAAGAAGAGCTTGTGAAAACTAATCTTCAAATAGAACTTTGTGTGTGAATAAAATTACAAGGTTCTGAGTTGAATAGGACTTAATTTTATATGGTTCAGAGCGTGTCAGACGCCATTTTGTCGTGGGAAAACAAAACGAGCGGGAAATATTTTATTTCTTTTTTTGTTTTACATGTAGTGTTAGATAACAAATTTATCAATTTGTATGACAATGAATTGATTTTATACAGTTTTAGTATATTTGAAATAATGATAATAAACACGATAAAGTTGGAATTTTAATAACGTAATATATGATGTAAATTTATAATTACATAAATTCATACATACATAAACATTAATGTTTAGTTCGGAAAAAGAAATATTCGTCTCAAAGGACTTATAAATAATAATAATAATAATAATTAATTCATATGTAAATTAGTAAAATATTATTGGCTGGTAATTTTCAATCATATGACAAAAATTAATTAAAAAAAACTTCATTTTGACTCAAGTCATTATCTATACATTGGATTTTAATATACATTGTACATACATAAAATAGTACATATAAAATTATCGCGTGTATGCGTTTTTAGGATCGTGTCAATACTTTTAGGCACGTCGCATATATTTTCGATAGATATTATTTATCTTTTTAAAGTAATTAGGTACGGCTTATTTATAATATAGAAAAATTGCCTGTAATTGCAAAACTTTTATAGTCTCTGATCTCTTAAGAGTTCCAAAGGATGAAAAGGAAAACGTAATTATATTTTAGGAGCCGGGTACCCGCAGGCCAGTCTCGTTAGGGTGGCACTAAATCAGATTCACTCTGTCAAAGTAA